TGTTTCTTTTTCAGTCTATTTATGCAAATACCAGGATATTTTCTCAGATTAGGCCACAACCATTTCCTTCTACGTCCTTTCCAATTCATTATTAATTTTATGCTGTGCTGAAATTGCCATTAATAGACTGGGACTATGTAAATAATATCAGCGTCTCATTTTTTGTTTTTTGTTACCAAGTGACCAAGAATAACACCACTCCTAATGATTTTAAATTGGCTTACCATCAGGAGTCTTATAATTTGCATGCTCCAGACTCATTTCTAGGGCTCTAAAAATCTAATGTTTTAGTAGTAAGCTTTGTGCTGAAATGTAATTTTCCTGTACAGGTAGCCTTCGATTGCGCCGATTCAGAATAACGCCGATTTTGAAACCATAAAGTCAAAAAGTGAAAGAAAAATATATTTTACTATTATTTATAACGTTTTACAGTGTTTCTCGTACTGCTTCTTATACTAAATCGTAATTGTTACATCGCTGATTTTGAATAAAAATTATAAATACAGTCATCTCTGCAATTACGTATGTTTCATTAACGCCAATTTGCTCCAATGAGATCGATGAATCGGTAAAAGCTGTTTGTGAAATGCAAACTTTTGCATATGCGAGTTTGCTCTTAGGCAATTTCATTCCTGCGGCTTTAAACTTTCAAAGGAGGACTAATTTAATCTCTGCGGAAGAAATCACGACAGTCCACACTACATGCCTTCTTTAAAAAACATGACGATCCTCAACCAGGGACTTCGTTTGAGAACTAATGCCACTTCATCACGCCATTGCCGATTGTAAGAGTATATAATATATTTTTTGAATTCCTTTTATTTTATTTACGTTATTTCAGAGCTTTAAATGTAATGCCATTATATTACTCGTCAATGTTTAGGTGCTAGGAACGCATGTCATTGACTTCCCATTAATTTACATTATAAAAGAGTTTAAATTTACGCCGATTCCGTTTACGCCGTTTCGTCCAGGAACACATTCCCGCCTTAAATCGAGGTCTACCTGTATATGAAAACTTGATTTAATAAAATAGGTTTAAAAGGTTTGGGTACAAGCAACAGAAGTCACTGAGATTTATCCTAATGACTTTTCATTAATATGGTTTGGTGTGGCTTGTGGAGAAGGAATGTTTTTAAGAATCAACAATTGTTATGTGATAGAGTTGATTGTAATTACCTAAACATTTTAAAGAATCAGTTGCCCCTTTGGTTGTCATCTGGTTTTATATGTCTCTGATAACATCTCATTATAGTATAAACTTGAATCATGTATAAACAGGTTTTGTGTTACACTATACCTCGAAATATTGTTTTAAATTTTAAAATAATGGATATGCTGATATTTATTTTCTTCATATAAATTGCTGTGGTATTCAAAAACTGCTGTTTGATAATGATGGATGATTCCTGGATGGGAGTTTTCAAGCTAAAACAACTTTTAGTACTATTATAGAATTTACAGTGAAAGAGATTACTGCTTTTAAATTTTACTTTAGATTTAACACTAGTTTTACATTGTTTCTGCTAATTACTTTTTGTACTGCTTATTTTTGAATATCTCTAACTCTCTAACTGTCATAAATTGATTTGTTACGTGTCCATGTAACATTTTTCATCCAGAATTACTTGACTAAGAACGTCTTGGAATTTGATGACGTCTTGAGATTTATATTTGTAGTGAACACAGATGAACTGAGTTGTTTAACATAAGCTGAATTAAGGTCTTGTGGTATATGATTTTTTTTTAAGAACGAGACTGGCGAGGTGTTTTCTGTACCAGAATGCACATATTTTTCGTGTGTTCTTTGTGCCTTTGCATGCAGCCCTAAGGTAATTTACATCTGGGCATATTATGCAAAAGTTCCTGTAAGTAGCATCTAGATATGTGTGGTAATAGATAGCAGACCATGTAAAAACATAAGCGTACCAATTTTTCCTAAGAAAAAGCTTTCGTCGCTGAGGGTTTCTGGTTTTTCCCCATCAGTCTCACTATGTAAATTCTGGGATAAAACTCATATTAGGCCACATATGCTTTCTTACATATTCTTCTCAATTCATTATCGATCAATCAGTCATTATGTAATTTGACAGTATGTAGTCTGAGATGCTGACATTGTCATCAAATAAAATGCAAATAAATTCAAGGACTGTAAGTCTGATTTTTATTAAAATATTTTGTGCACATTGTAAGTTGGAATTTTAAATTTGAAAGATGTGTGTCCATAATAAATTATGCAAGTAGTAGTCATGGTGGACCACATAAAAAATTTGTTCTTATATCAGTTGATAAATAGACAATATTGAAATGTTTAGGGTTTTTTACTGTCACATGTTTGAAGAAATTTAAAAATTTGGTAGGACTGCAGATTCAGTGTTATATTTTCATATTCATTCTAAAGATAAAAAGAAGTATTTCCTCCAAAATATTGGAAGTTTCTTCAGGAAGTCTATTGCTACAACCCAAAATGTGAACTTCGATTTTATATTTCACTTTTGTGAAACGTTTATAGCTGAATACTGTATGCGCTTGCATGCCATACATCCTTGAAACATAGAATTAAATCTTTCTGTTGCTGCCTGTATCGGCCTCATCCAATTACGTTTTTTTTGCCTATGTTGGTATTGTTTCTTATATGCTGCTTTACATATTGAGCAGGATCTGAAAGTTCCATTCACCACTCATTTAATGTCGATATTTTGCAGTTGTTTCAGCTTTTAAATGTGAGTTAGTGTTTTTAACCTTTGTTATGTGGCAGCCATGATTACCTGTTTAATGGGATCCAGTTTGTCATTGTGGTATGTTAGTATAGATCAGGCTGATGGATTTTAGGAAGTATAGAATATGTCTATACTGAACACATTATTGTGTAAATATACTTCTGTGAAGAAGGAAATATGGACAGAAGACTTTTATCTTTTACTGTTTTTGAGGATAGATAATTTCGTTCATAGGTTTTGTTCACGCTCCAGTGTGAGCAAATGAAACATCTTACACGCATGCCCATATCTGTTCATCTGTCTATATATTTGTCAACTTTTAAAATTATGTGATCAACCAGCATGAACTGGGGTCACTGGAACACATTATTACGCAGTGGTAATGGAAGTAATTTTTGGCATTCAGTATTGCAACAGTGGGAAACCAATGTTATTGTTGGTCAAATTGTTGCTTCGGGAGCCAAGATTATTGTCTGCCCAACAGTGACCTCATATTACATTGCAACTGTTACCTTGCATGCCACTTTTGTGTTTTACCTTTCAAATCTGAGTGATCTAAGTCCACTCACTGTTCCTTTGAGCAGTGTTTATGAATGAACCAACCTTCCGACATCTCCAGTGTTGTAAGAAGAGCACTTTTTGAATTTCAATATACTCCAAAGACTGCCTTTCCAATCTTATAACTTTCTTTATCATTTTATAGGCCTGCTATTTCAAGTTTATCGTTAATGTTAAGTGGTACTCTCACACTGACGTGATAATGACAGCTCTAATGCATCTCTTTCTGTTTGAATTTCATTAAATATACTGAAATTGACATATGCTGCCATTTCTTTTCATGATGTAGGTCGTGAGGTGGTATTCCAGTGTCGAGATGAAGGCCCACTTAGAGCGAGAGTCAGGTGGCTACGAGGCAATGGATTACCGTTGCCTCCTGGATCGAGGGATGTTAATGGACGATTGGAAATACCTGACATACAGGTATATACTCTTACATTACGACATTTTTAGGGTGTTTTACATTTTTATGTATTGCTGTTATCTTTGTCAGTCTCAAACGAGCATAACATGGAATATTCATGCTGGAAATTATTAATATATGCACAATTTTGGTTCAAAGACATCGCTTTGTAGACATGGTTGTAAATGGGAGGATAATGTTAAAATGAATGTGTTGTGATGGCATGAAATGAATAGATTTTACTTGGAACAGTGTTCACTGGAGGACTTTTGTGGACATTGTGATGAGCCTCGAAGTTCAGGAATGAAATTTCTTGACCAGCTGGATAATTATCAGCTATTCAAGGAATATTGTCCCAATAATTTGGTTACATTAAATTTTCAAGTGCCCTGTGTTTATGGCAGATGCTTCCAAACTTTGGGAGCATTTCATTTTAGCAAAAATGTTTCCTTTGAAATGGTAAGAATTTATCTCATAATATCTTTGATCATTCTTGATGCAGAACGTCATTACCATGGAACTTAATGCATGTTGTCCGTGTTCATTTAGGTGGAGCACTCGGGAACATACATCTGTGAGGCTGTTGGAATCCCTCCAAACACTCCTGGATCACAAGTGTCTGTTCATCTTGTAGTGGAACCATGTATGTATTGCCCCATCTGATTTGAAACTCTGCTCCAGTATGGAAATCTGTCAGAAGTATCTGTTTAATTTGATCTGTAGAAGGCAATAATTCATTACTGCTGAATATTACATAGTGAGGCTTAAGTCCTGATCATAATGGATAATGTTTGGTGGATATTGATTTCAGGAATGTTGGCAATATATCTTGGCTCAGAATGAAGGAATTTATACTTTATTAAAAGACAAAACAGACATTTGTAAAAAAGAAAATAACTTATCTGAAGTGCACACATTCAAAGAAAATATTACTATTGTTGTGTTTCAAGAAGTGTCATAAAGGAACATGTAAGACTTGAGGTTCTCACAGCGGTGAGTATGAAGATGAACATGTTTGAGATTTCAGGTTCACGCAGTGATGGGTGTGAAGATGACTGTCTTTTGGGATGTTGCACTTTCGTCTGGTAGAAGTTTGCCAGAGTTTCAGAGTTTCTTACTTAAGCACCTTTGAAACATCAGGAAGTTTTTACCAGACTGCACAGGGCAACATCCCAGAACACAAATCATCTTCACCAGGGATTTAATTATGAGCAGGCCTATAAATTATAATGAAATTTCCCAAAGTTTTTTCTGGTTATGAGTGTACATAAGTATATTTCTTGGTTTACATGCAGCTGGGAGGATCAGAATAACCCCATCGAAATATGTTCACAGCTCGAACCTCATACCTTATGACCATTCTCCTCTCTTGAAGTATGGTATTCTTCCTTACTCCGAGTATGACATATATGGACCAGGTACAGACACATACCCACAGCACTTTGAATTTATCAGCATCATAAATAGCACTGCAACATTAATTTAGTACCATTTTGCATGTCAGAATTTTATGAAGAGTAAAAATATCAGATAATGTTAAATTTAATTTTTGTAGATGTCAAGCTAAATCAAGCCGCTCTGCACTCCATGTATGTGTTCTATTTATTCAGTGCAGCCATCATATATTTTAATTCATTTATTTACCAGCCATCAGCATTTACATAATACTATAATAGGATTCAAAAGTGAAGTTGTAGTTAAAGATATAAATTAATCTTTTTCATCGGTTCTTTGTGTCTTAAGCACAATTCAACTTTATGTGCATTACACTTGCATATTGCTAAAATGTTAACCACAGATTTAAATTCCAGCCAGCAGCCATGTGGTACAGTCGTTTAAATTACCTTTTCATGTATAAAGGTCAAAAATGGTTAAACATTCATATTTACTTACCTTTTACTTAGTAAACATGTCTTATTACATAGAAATGTATGTGAATATAATTTAACATGATTTGCGATGACAATACCATCCTCACTGTATTACATCTTTGCAGATGACTTCCTGAATGCTGTATACTAGAGTTACTGCCTTTGATTGTCCAATTGTAGATTATATAGATAATTTTCATAGTAGCATCTGACATTTTAAATACTTCACTCATCTTGCATGAGTGTTCTTTTGCCCCCCCCCCCCCCACACCCACACACACACAACCTAATTTATTCTTCTAGATCAGTGGTATTCAACCTGGGGTATGCGAAGACATCTTAGGGGGTACATGAAATTTTTTAAAAACAATTATGATAAACACTGAATAATCAGGGTCAGATTTAATACATTATTTTGGATGTAATTTATTTAATTTATTTCAGATGTAGATTATATACTATGCATAACTTGAATTATACACCAACAACTTTGGGGGGACAAAATTGAAGAGAAATTATATCTGGGGGTACGCGAACAAGAAGGTTGAATACCGCTGTTCTAGATCAGTGGTATTCAAACTTCTAGTTCGCGTACCCCCAGATATAATTTCTCTTCAATTTTGTACCTGCAAAGTTGTTGGTGTATAATTCAAGTTATGCATAGTATATAATCTACATCTGAAATAAATTAAATAAATTACATCCAAAATAATGTATTAAATCTGACCCTGATTATTCAGTGTATACTGTATATATCCATTATTTTTATAACTTTCACAGATGAGCAATGTTCCAGCTACCATGATTCAGCATTACACAAACTCTTCGGTTAACCCAAAAGTTACAGTAGTCATTTTGAGCATTGTCTTTGTATACATATTCATGCCATTGTGTGTTCTACCATCTTTGACAGTTTTTAAGTATGAGTTAAAGAGAGACTGAAATGCCTTGCTTTAATTTACAATAAAGTTGTGTAGTTTTAACGTAATATGTTTGAAAATATAACAAAAAACAGTCAAAAGGATTGTGGCACAGTTGGAATTTAGGTTATGGCTAGAACATATTGCAAAATATTTAGAAATATTAGATTGTATTGCATGTAAATTTAGTTTGTATTCTTTTAGAAAACCTAAATTTGATTTATTAAGGTTGATTTTTTTTCATTGAAGAAATGAGGAAAAGTGTGTGGATACTTAATTTATGTCATATTGCTCATTTAGGAAGTAATTGTGAAGGAAGAGATTCTGGTGTTTTGTTATCATAAGACAAATTAAATCAGCAAAAGAACTGACAAGGTCACATTGGAGTATTCGTTGATATGTAGAAATTAAAATTTCTGTTTACAGTATTTTTTCTAATCCCATATTTGTGACAAATGTATCAAAGTTTAGTATTATGTAGGATTCAATTTCTGTAATTTAATTGCATGCTGTACTAGCAGTCATGCATGTTTAACTTTCTGATCTCAAAATAGGTTAAAATCAGGATTCATGCTCTCTTACAGTGTATAAATCAGATTGAGTAGAGAAATTCCATGACAACGTTAATATTGATGCCAATGAAATGGAACTTTTCCATAACTTGAACATTGATGTCTTTGAAATCTGTGTTCAGTAGATTGTAGTTTACATTCTGTGTTCAGTAGAAACTAGCATTTTACATGATATATATACATATGTATTTTGTGTTTGTTTTTCCCCATTTTGCCTCACTTAAACCAATAAACTGGTGAGTATTGCATGCTGTGTGAGACAATCTTATTATTATTTGGTATTTTCAGTTTGGATTTAAGGTCTCGTAACAATCTGCAAAGTAGGATTACTCATATACTGTTCTGTTACAAAAATACATTACACTTAGTATGACTTGCATGTATTCAAAATGTAATGTGGCCTGGCGTTAATAGTTTTGAATCACACTGTTTCACTGTAAAACTTTGCAATGTGCTGAGTAGTCCATGCTGAGCTTTCTAGAAGTATAAAAATCAATAACTATGTTGCTATCGAGATATTAACAATGAGATCGCTTTTATACTAAGAATTACAGGTAGCCTGCGATTTGCGCCGATTCAAAATAACGCCGAATTTGAAACCAGCAAGTCAAAAAGCGAAAAAAAAATATTTTACCATTGTTTATAACATTTTACAATGTTTCTCGTACTGATTCTTATAATAAATCATAATTCTTACATCGCTGATTTTAAATAAAAATTATAAATACAGTCACCTCTGCAATTACGTATGTTTCGTTAACGCGAATTTGCTCCAATGAGATCGATGAATCGGTAAAAGCTGTTTGTGAAATGCAAAGTTTCACATATGGGAGTTTGCTCTTATGCAGTTTTATTCCTGCTGGTGCTGGGAACACTTCCCATTGACTTACATTATAAAAGAGTTTCAGTTTACGTCGGTTCGTCCAGGAACGCATACCCTGCGTAAATCGAGGGCTACCTGTACTGTTGTCACCGATAAATGACAACATGCAAACACTTTAATGTATTTGAAAAATTGTGGGCTGTGTACATCACTATTTGACATGAGATTTATTTTGTGTTTCCCATTGTCCATCCCTCAACTTTCCCTCTGACACAATTTCTGCTAATTATAACTGTTATAATTATGCCTGTTTTGATTATATTTGTTGTTCCTTGCACACAGACTTCTTATTTTCTGAGTTTGTTAAGAGTGTAATAGGACTATAATGAAAATATATTTCTTTTTACAGTGACCCATGATGTTATAACTGAGAACTAATTTTATATAATACTTTCAGCCAAACCACAACCAACTCGCCCATCTACAGCTTGTAAACTGCATGAGGCGACGTGCTCCAATGGGGAGTGCATCAACAAACAAGCAGTATGTGATGGGAAATTTGATTGTACTGATGGTTCTGATGAATTGAGATGCAGTGAGTAGAAACATTTAGTTGAAGTAAAACATACAGTAATTGATGGAAGAAACTGTGAGTTCAGATTTTGAACTATTTTGTACCTTCATTCTTCATTAAAGTTAAATGCTCTGTGTATTTGTTGTTTGGATGGAAGATGGTGATAGTTTGTGTGTAAATGAATGGATTTAAGAATACAGAAACTGTAGTACCATATTGACTGATGCACTTTTTTTTTTCAAAATTATTCATTCTTAAATTTAGGGCGAATGTAATACATGAAACATATACAGTGGATTCCGGTTAATCGGGACACATCGGGACTAAAACACTTTGGCCCAATTAAGCGGCTACCCCTATTATGCGAAGTTCCACGTAATGAGTTAAAAAGGTCTGTTCTTTAAGATTTGTCCCAAATAAACGGCTGTCTCGATTAACCTACGGCCCAATTAACCGTAATCCACTGTATTTAAAGGGGGGTTGAAAGGATTTGATGTTCTCACGGTGGAGTGTATAAAGATGGCTGTCTTTTGGGTTGAAGCACTGTGTAGTCTGGTAGAAGTTTACCAACTTTCAGAGGTAAAACCTATAACAAAGCCATATTCAGGGGAAGAAAGTGTTAAAATTTGAACATCAAAGCAAAGAATCACAAATGTTTAAAAAACTGGTATTTTAATTGATACTGGGAAATTCTATGTTTCTTCTGTAGGTCCCCATGGTTGCGAGCCAAATGAGTTTCGATGTGACAATAAAAAGTGTGTCCTGAAGACTTGGCGCTGTGACTCAGATGATGATTGTGGCGATAAGTCTGATGAAAACAACTGTGCCACAAATCCACCAGGTATTCTTATATTTTATGCTTGGAAAGGCGTAAATCACTGTATTTTCCGAAGGCATTGATTGGTGTGTTGTGTGTCTTACTGATGTTGATGTTCATTTATTCTAAATGCAGGGAGGGTATTTGATGACTTAATAATTTGTTTTGCCAATTTATAGGAAGCTGTATTCATTTGTTTTCTGTCATAGGTTCTCCTTGCCGTTATCATGAGTTTCAGTGTAAATCAGGAAATCAATGTATCCCACGATCCTTCCACTGTGACTTGGAAGTTGACTGCTTAGATGGCTCTGATGAAGTTGGCTGCTGTAAGTACAGTTGGGAATATCGGAATCTTTGAGATCTTCAAATGTAATACTATTGTGCATAATTGTACCTTTGCCATGAACATTTTGATTTTTCTAAATATACAAACATACTGGTGCACCTAATTCACAAGTTCCATTGTATCTGCATGTTCTATTAGATATTTTTTATTCCCTTTTAAATTTAATAATGTATCTTGCTCACCTGCACTCCACTGGTACATAGACATACAGCCATTATTATTATAAAGTGTTCTTGGTGTCTTCTTAATTTAATAGTTTTTTTTTGGGTTATGTAATACTTTTTTTTCATTTATTAAGGATAAGTTGGGTAACCGGGAAAGGATTTAGAAGGAAGTGTTTATTGTCTGTTTGGAGGTGCTATCTTATTATTTTTGCCTTGAGGGCTGAAGAATACCTTGAAAGGTCTGCTTACTAAGCTTTGAAACCAGGACCTCCCAAATTCAGAACAGGTGTGCTGAGAACGTCAGTGTTCAGTGCACCTCTTTGCCTGAAGTTTTATTCTACATATAATTGGAGTCTTTTTGGTTGTTAAAGAAATTTTCGTTTTATTTTTTCAACTTGTCAGAGAGCATAATATCCAATTCTCTTATAACCATAGTTCTTCTCAGAACATGGGAATATGCATTGAACTTATCTTTTTTGCCTAGGACTGTTATATTTTGTATTTTTGTCGTTTTTTACAGCACCTGTCTATATTCAAACACCTCCACCACCCATGGTGCTGGCAAATGTTGGTGATGTTTTGACCATCACATGTACAGCTATCGGTGTTCCAACACCAGAAGTGGTATGGAGGTTGAACTGGGGACACCTACCCAGTAAATGTTCTTTCACAAGTGTCGGCGGAGTGGGTACCTTGACGTGTCCCGATATTCAGGTACTGAGTCTTAATTGTTCAGTATTACTTTTATTTCAGATTGAGTAACTTTACCTTCGTTAATGACTTTACCCTTTACGGACAGTCTGGGTTTGACTGTATTTGCATTAGCTTTGTATACCAGTTAAAAGGACGTCATGCACCCAAATCTTTGTATTTGATTTTGTAATTATTTCTGTGCCTCTATTTGATAAAATGGTATAATTTTGATAATCTCTGAAGATACTGCATTGCAACAAATAACATTTTTAAGATTTAAGAACTCACTAGTCATTTGTGAAGTTCATTATTCAGTATGGATATTCTACATTTAAAAAATGTTTAGGAAATTTAATCAATTGCAAAAACTTTACTAAGTATGAACACATTTATGAAGAGGATATGTGTCAGGTCTTGACACTTTAAGTTGGCAACTCTGTGTTATACCTTTAACAAAAGCATGATGTGCATTGTGTAAAATGAAGTCTGCCCTATTTAGAGGTCCATTTACATGATCCTTATTTAGACTCCGGATTGACTTCTAAAGTTTTATTTGGGAAAAGTAGTCAGATTTTATAATGTTTGTGATTGGTCTTTTTGAACATTTAGCCATATATGGATTATTATTATTTCACTTCATTAAATACGGGTAAAATTTAAAACTGTTTTGAATAATCACAGCTTTCGAAAAGGTCCATGTTTTATTAAATTGTTGCTAGGAATCGGACCAAGGGGCATACAGCTGTGAAGCTATCAACAACAGAGGATCCGTGTTTGCTGTGCCTGATACCATCCTTGTTGTGAAGAAACAGCCATCTGTTTGCCGTGCAGGATATTTCAACAGTGAGGCCAGATCTCCTGCCGAGTGTATTTCATGCTTTTGCTTTGGTGTTACCACAGACTGCAGAAGTGCCGATCTCTTTACTTACCAGGTAACTGTTTAAGGTGGAAATAAATTAGAGGCGAAGAAAAATATGTCTTGGGAATTGTGTTATTTTAATTAGATTTTCATGGTGATTTTTTGTGTGCATGCATGTGCACACGCACGTACACCATGTAGACTTGTAGATAGATGCCTGCATTTTGGAGGCAGATGCAGACATTAATTCCTTTTTGTTACTGTGTTACAGCAAATCGCTAATTTTTTACGCTGCATTGTTGTGTTATGTGAATAAAGAAACCTAATAAATATGCATAGTCTGCTTCGTCACACTTTATTTATACCATAGTTCTTCATTGCCATAGTTTAGAGAAAATGTATTAATTCTGTGACATATGTAAAGCCTCTAAAATAAGCATGAATTTGATTATCTTACATACAGTATGGGACACTTTAGATAATTGTTAACTTGTAAGGAAGGCGGAAATGTATGAACTGTGTTATGAATTTGTTTCTCACATTTCTAACATAAATTTACAGAAATTTGGAAAAAGAATATTTTTACCTGACTATAAGATGTATTGTCGGCAGGTTTTTTTTATTTATTGGTATTCAGTTTATGATATTGACTGAAGAAAAGCTGTTTTTTGTTAAGACAGTGTATAAAGTTGTTTACTTGTTTCTGTTTTGTTCTCAGTTGCCACCCCCATTTGACCAATACAAACTTGTTGGTGTGAATGTGAACCCCTCTACAGGATCAGTAGATATCCATTCAGAATCACCATACCGGTCTCTGCCATCTGTCCGTCCCATAGAAAGAAATGGATTCCATGTAAGTGACATGTAACATTAAAGAAATTTAATTTGTACTTAGTGACAACCATTATGTTACTCATCAAGTCCACTTGTTGTGGAAGAACAAGAATTTGTGTAACTAACAAAGTAACTAATGAACACCGTGATGTTAAGTGCATTCCATTGCCTTAGCATACATCTAAAGCAGTGGTCCCCAACACCGTGCCCGCGGGCGCCCGCCAAGGCTTTTTTTGGGTGCCCGCGTTGTTACGGAAAGATGTTATACTGAATAATGAAGGCCATTCAACCATGAACATTATAAAATCAAAGTGCAGATTTTGACTTACTGACGCCCATCTTGATGATTGTTTGCGAGCAGCAACATCATCCTACACTCCCAAATTTGAAAAACTGGCCGATGAAATGCAGCGCCAAACATCACACTAACTTCCCACTTGAGTAATAAAAATTATCTTTTTGTTTTGTGTATTATGTGGTGTCCATATCTTATTTGTCCAGAGAAAAGAAAATTTGGCTTTGTTAATTGGTTGGTGCCTGCCACGATCTCATAAACTCTCAAATGTGCCCATAGGCACAAAAAGGTTGGGGACCGCTGATCTAAAGCATGCCTTTATTTAGAGCCATTTTATAGCAGTTGTAACACTAATTTTTCCCACTGTTCTGTACAGTATTCTTTTATGAATTTCAGCTGTAATTTATTTATCATTACTGATTTTTGCTGACAAATTATAAAATTGTAGTCAAATTGTCATGTATATGTGCTCTCGACGGCACCAATTAAATGTAAGCCAGAAGGAATACTTGATGATGATGAAATATATAATATACTTGTGGGTTGCTGGTGGTGATTGGTTGTGCAGAGGTGTGGAAGGTGGCTGCCCAAACTCTGATATTGATATTGTAATTACACTACTGCGAATTACTACAAAGCTATATTTCTCTCAACAGGTTCTGTCTTATGGTTAATGGTTCTGTTGTGATTAGTACTAAGAAGCTTTTGGCAGTTTTTGCTGTTTGATAACTTGAGATGACTGTTTTTTGGCCGTAATTTACAAGTAGCCATTTCAGCTTTAATGGCAGTATTCTGTATGCAATTCTTTGATTGCTTATAGACGTTATAAATTTGTAGTTTAAGACATTACATAATTTTATTTTGTCTATGGGGAAAACAGCAGGGACAGATAATTATAGACTGTTAAATATAGCATTTGAATTAACATTTAGTGACATTTTATGAACCAGCTACTTGAGTATGGTCTAAGTCCTGTGTGAGGGACTGTTTTCTTGTCTGTAGGTTCAAACATCAGAGAGACTTCCTGATAATGTATACCCATACTTTGTGATGCCGGAGAACTACCACGGGAACCAGCTGAAGTCTTACGGAGGCTATGTGAAATATACTGTGCGGCATGAAGGACATGGTCATCCAATTTCTGCACCTGATGTTATCCTGTCTGTAAGTAGCTTTCATTGAAAATTAGTCTTTCTCCAGAGATTTCTTTTGTACGCTTCAGAAATTCACATATTACATGATTGATAATTTCAAAATGTAATGCATGTATTCTCCATTTATTGAGCATAGTAAGTCACCTGAGACTTGGCAGATCACTTACATGTGACACAGAAAATCAAATAAGAAACTAACATACACAAGTTTTTGTTCAAAGTATGCTTTTCTGTCACCCATATGCCGCTCTAAAATTTCCAATATATTAATTACTCTGTCGTACAGAGTTTAGTATAGACATGTATGTGACTTACATTTAAAAATGTGTTTTCTATCTAAACATTTTGGACATTTATGTATAACTTTAAAGCACTTTTAATTATTGTGAGATGTTAGACCATTTTATTATTTGTTTAGGGCAATGGCTATACTCTGGTACACCCTGGTCGGCCACCGATACCTGGACGGGACAATGACTACTCGGTGAGATTCTTCTATGGAGAATGGTACAAGCGAGGAAGTGCTCGGCCAGGAGGGGACATTCCAGGGGAACCAACTGATACACTAGCCACGAGAGAGGAAATAATGATGGCCCTTGGAAATGTTGATAATCTTCTTATCAGGTCGGTGCAGTGCTGGACTTATGCATACACTAACTAGGCTACAGCGTAAGGCCTCACAATGTTTGGTGAAATAATAATCCTTTAAGTTTGTTGTTGGATCTGGTTAAAATTTATTAATGAGAGATACAGTTTGATTAATGACATCTTTAACTTCTATACCTTATGAGCATGAACGAGGTGTTTCATAAGTAAAATTCAGCTGCCATTTCTCACCCAAGTCTCTCCTGATTCACTACTAGATGGTTCTAACAGACATATCAGGACTGAGTAGAAATTGTGCAGAGGCAATGGGCTTGTCACTCACTACTCATAAATGCACACTTCAGAGACAAACCTCTCACATTGGGGAGGCCAAGGCTCGACTTCAGGCTGTTGTGCCATAGAAAGAACTTCTACTTAATATCAATTTTTACAATCACAGTTGGATTTCAGAAGCGCTGTTGTTTTATTTTCAGTTTAAAATTCAACTTAATATTTGAACTTCTTAACAAAAACAAAGTTCAATATGTTACTGTTGTACCACAGTTGCCAGTTGGTGTTGTAACATTTGCACAGTGGTCAAAATTGTGTTCAAGAATAACTAACAAACTCTTGTGCCAGAATCTGAATGTTTAACACCATCAATACTGAAACCTACCACTGGGCATGATTATAAGGTATTTCCATCCTACTCCGATGTCTCAAAGAACCATCTTAATGGATATTTTTACAGGAGATTTTACTGTTTTCTATGTTCTAGCAATATACCAGTCCATTTTAAGTTCCTAGATTTTACAAGAATGTAACTGAATATTAATCAAATCAAAAAATGTTTAAAGACACAGCTGTTGAACGAGATTCGTATTTTATGTTATGTGCATTTGTGTGATGATATGAGTTGGTTTTGTACAGATAGCCTTCAAAGCTGGTATAAACTCGGAATAGCACAACATGTTTTGCACTGAGGAACAGCACTGAAAATGGAAGGGGTTTCCTGACTTTGTTACTTGTTATAGATTAATTTCAATGGTGTATGGAGCCTGGTATGATGAAATTTTTCTCATTTGGTTTCAGATGGTGCCTTTATTGTATCCAGTTATTGTGGTTCATGTGCAAATATAATGCATCTACCTCCTCACATCAAATTATTTTTAACGTAATATTGTTCTGTACCCATTAACAGGGCTCAGTATGATGATGGTCCCTTCCTGAATACACAAATCTTCAACATTAACATGGACTCCGCAGGCATCCGCAACACTGGACAAGGACAAGCGGTGTTCGTAGAGGAATGTCGTTGCCCTGCTGGTTACACTGGACTTTCCTGTGAGGTCAGGTTCTCCAACAGTTTTGTCAAAAATTTTGTCTATATAGATTTGTTATTTTGGTTCTGACAGCAGTATTTTGAAGTTTATGAATTTTTGCAATAAAAAAGAGAATAATATGTTTCAGCTGTGTGCTCCTGGTTACAACCGGCATCAATCAGGACCGTGGCTGGGACTGTGTAGCAAGGATCGTGAGCCTTGCCGTCCTGGTACTTACGGAGATCCACCACGCGTACCATGTGAAACATGTCCATGTCCGCTCACTAACCCCGGAAACCAGTGAGTGTGTTCATTTGTGAATGAGTTCAGTTTGAGCATATATTTAATTTCATGAACACATTTTGTGGTTTGGAAGTGTAGCATGAAGAGGAGTTTTGGTGACATCTTATTTTGCATACTTGAGAGAGATTAGTCTATTTAAATTTTCTTTCTGAATCCACCAGAAGGATTATCAAAGGAATACACATGCACTTATAAATTTTTTTGTCTTACTACTGTACCATACCTTGTTACGCATTTACTACATATCAGTGTGTGATGCTGCAGGTTTGGCCGTACATGTTTCTTGGACACTGATGGACAAGTTACCTGTGACTGTCCACAAGGTTATGTAGGCCGGAGATGTGAACAGTGTGCATCAGGATACCAAGGCAACCCATTTATTCCTGGTGACAGATGCACGCAAGGTATCTTCCGACATGTTCTTTATTTTCTTTCTTTTGCTGTTATCCATACTGACAGTTTCTCATGTGTGTTTTATTCATGCTTGAAATTATAGTGGAATGTGTTGTAAGTTTGCCTCTTCAATGAAATCCAATGTTTGGACTTCGGATAATTTTTATATTATATCTGTAGATTTTAATTACGTTTCATATTTGGTTAAGAGTAATATGGTTCAAGCCTAAATGTTTTTAAGCTGTAAAAAGAAATCAGTACTCTCTTTACCAGTTAATGTGTCTGATACGATATGTGGAACTAATTTTGTGATGTATATACGTGTAATTGCCAGTCACAGTGGCTGTGCAGTCTGAGGCGTGGACCTTGTGTGCCTGGACACTGGGACCGTGGGTTCGAATCCCTGTCAAAGTATTGATGTTTGTTTGCATCTTTCTGTGTTGTTCTGTCCTGCGACGAGACGATCACTCGACCAAGGAGTCCTACCAGATATCTAAATAGAACAAGTAACCTCAGAGAGGAGGCCCTATGTTTCACGTAGGAGCAAAAGGGATATATATATATATATATATGTGTGTGTGTGTGTGTGTGTGTGTGTATATATATACATACACATATATGTCTTCATACACGTAATTAATATACCGTTGGCTTTGGTAAAATGGAAATGATGCTAGAAGAAGAGGAAGTGACTTTATTTATACCGTGATTCATTCTGGATTGCATCATGCCAGAATTTGAGTGTTCACAAATTAAATTTATTACAGGGTTACAGATACTCCGGTGGGTATGAACGATGATTCAACTCTATTTGTAATGTTCTTTTAGGATACTGTGATGCAGCAGGCAGCTTGTCACCTAGACCTGACTCATCTACTGGTCGTTGTATTTGTAAGGTGAGTTAATCTTTACCTAGTAATGCAGACTGTTTCAACTCTTAAGTTTTCAAAGCACTGATTCAAAGGTGGCTAGGACTGGGAAGACAAGGAATGCTTACAGAATTTTGGTGAGAAAAGCTGTATGAAAATGGCCACTAGTAACACCCAGGAGATGGAAGGATAATATTAATATAGATGTTAGGGCAGGATGTTTTGATGGAGATCAATAAAATTGTCTCATGATAGGATTTTTAAGGCTCTTTCGCAAGAGAACGACTTGGGTAGAAGTAATATACGGGGTCTGTAGTTTTATCATGTGTCCGGTTCCTGTACAGTGTTAACGACATGTTTTACGCAGTGGAGTAAGAGAGGTTGATTGTTCACTGTCAGTTATCCCAGCGCAGTATGACCTATCTTAGTTCAATGTAGAATAATGAAGTGATGAATCGCACGTTTTAAATTGTGTAAGGAACCTGTTACAATAGATTAATTTTGAGTTTGTATTATTCTGGTTTTCTGCAAATATAACATCGTATGTTCTCTATTGTCCTGTTCTTTTCGTATGCTTCCACTGTGCAAAATGATGGTGAGTAGTAAACTTGACACTACAACAGTTTGAGAAGTTATTTGTTGACATGACAGCCTTCAGCATAGTCACAGGTAGGAAACTTATCTTTGTTACTGCAAATATTTGAAACCTCAAACAGTATTTCGTTCTGCAGGAATGTAAAATTAAATTTGTATATAAACCTCCTGTAACAGAGAGGAAGAAGGAAGGATAATATTAAATTGGATCTGATTTAAAGGAATTTTATGATAATAAAAACAATTTTTAATTTGCACTAATCATATTCTGTTCCTTATATTACAAATGTTTCGTCTTCGAGTTTTAGTGCTACACTTATATTTTTGAGTATTTTAAGGTTATAAACAGTCATTACAACATGTACATTATATGGTGAGCAGTTGTTTTTGGCATTACATAAGTATACGGATTGTTTCTGTAACAGTCGTGATACATGCAACTACATATTGATTTGAACGCTGTATTCCTTGTCTCATAATGCTTTTGTTTATTGTTCAGGACTACACCACTGGACCAACTTGTAACCAATGTAAGCCAAACAATTTCCACCTGGATGCAAGCAATCAGTTTGGTTGCATTCAATGCTTCTGCAGTGGCGTTACAGGCCAGTGTCTTAGCTCCAGCTGGTACCGGCAGCAAGTCTTAGTACCGGCGTTTTCACGGAGCACCCAGGACTTCAAGTTGGTAGAGGCTCTCCGACCCAAAGAACCCATCACGGAAGGACTCAGGGTTGATTCCAACACAAGGGAACTTGTTTTCCAAGACTTCTCACGGAACAGTCCAGGAGTAAGTTTCTGTTATATTTGTAGATTTGTTGTCATCGTTGCTTGCATTTAATTTTAAACTTTATAAGAGATTTGAAATTTTTGCCTCACTGAGAATGATGATGTTCTACTGGGTTTTGGTGGTGTGCACACTCATTGGTAGATGCCAACATTTTGAAGAAACATACTGTCTCCATCTTCAGTGCTGAATATAGAATCAATATAAGTCTGCACACTGCCAAAACCCAGAACATCATCATCATAATCTTTTAACAATTGCTGGAAGCTGATATCAAAACACATCGTTCCTTTGTGAAATTTATAATATGTACTTGTAACTTCATTCTGAACTTTATTTATTATTGTTGAAAGTACATTGGGTTTATATTTAAGCAAGAATGGTGATTATTGCATCAGCTGCTTACATGTTCTTTGTCTATTATACCACATTTGATGTATCTGATTAAGGAAACTTAACTTTTTACCATTTAAATAATTCAGAAAGTTTTACTAATCCTGTACATTGTGATTGTGGTTCAGAGACGTAATACAACATTACATTTTATTATGTTACATTATATTGAATTATGCATCATGTTCAAAAGAATTATGAATGTCAGTACTGTAATTTTGTTGACTTTAAAACTCTTCTTTCAGGTATACTATTGGCTGTTACCACCACAGTTCTTAGGTGATAAAGTGACGTCTTATGGTGGTCATCTGAACTATACAGTTCGATATGTTCCAACACCAGGAGGTCAGAGTTCAAGGAACAATGCTCCAGATGTTGAGCTGATCAGCGTAAGTCAGTTGTGATAGAATATTACTATGCGTGTTACTGAAACTGTATGGGTTGTGTTTTCTCATGCTTATAACAGCCTTTTATGGGCACTGTTAATAGTTGGACAAAGCTGGACTCGTATCGGCTGCTTTAAAGAAAGATTTTGTTTATTAAAGTAACTTGCCCATTTTTTATAATACACCATTGATCAATGTTCTTTGTGACCTGTTCTGTTTTTACTTTTTCTCTCCATTTTGTCAGATCGTCTTATACATCTGTCTCCTTTTGATTTGTAATTTAACAGTGTTTTTGGGAGTTTCATTCTCTAAAGTATTGAAAAGTTCGTACAAATTTTTCTTTCAGTTTTCTGTTTGCTGGTTCTGATTGTAGTTTGTGGAATGGTTCCATGTTTCTGTATTTCTCTTAAAATCTGGAGAGGTAAATCCAGCTACGGAATTTCATTTCAGCTGACTTGATCTTTATTTTATCCAGTTTTTGTAGCTGTAATTCAACATAGGAACTTCACAATATTTTAGCTTAAATACAATTTACTCTTTAATTATAGAATTTTATAATTTTAGCATTCTGTACAGAAATTTGCATCTAAAGAGCATAATATATCCCACTTGTTAAGCCCTCTTTTTAGAGGTGGGGATATGCCTCCTTGAGGAAGATTGTTAAAGAACTTGAGGTTCTCACAGCGGTGAGTATGTAAAGAAGGTTATGTTATCTTAGAAAGTGCAGTATATGGCTATTGATGCCATACATTTGCAGGTGATGGATGTGAAGATGTTGGTCTTCTGGGTTGTTGCACCATGTAGTCTTGTAGAAGTTTACCGACATTTCACAATTCATTGCTGCCTCCATCATGAGGGCAATGATGGAGGCAGCAAGGACCTCTGAAATGTCGGTAAACTTCTACCAGACTACATGGTGCAACAATCCAGAAGACAGCCATCTTCAGACTCAAATCCTACATGATGGATTTGCATTTTGACAGTGTAACTTAATTTTAATTCTATTCGGTTGGAAGTTGTTAATTTGTTTCCAGAGGTGGTTGGTCGCAGTACTGCTATATGTTGGTAGGAATTTATCTTTTGCGTTATGGTTAGTGTTCCGATTTGCATACATCCTGTTTTGTTGTGTATAGTCAAATGACATCCAGTTGCTATACTTCGGGAGAGACCAGATAGAGCCAAATCGCCCACAAACAATCTCAGTGCCCATTTTGGAGCAATACTGGCAGCGCCATGATGGACAGAGCACAAATAGGGAACACCTCATCATGGCACTGGCTGATGTTGAAGCTATTCTCATTAAAGCCACATACACAACAAACACACGGGAAGCAGCGTAAGTGTTGTATTACAGTTTTGCTAGGTACATGACGATTCAGGTTTATTTACATATATGTCTGTTCAAAGTACACAGTTTTTTAATCCATTATTTTTTCAAGGCCGTATTGTTTCTATCTAATGCAAGTTGTTTTTCTATGAAAACTTCCTTGGAATTTTAAAGTTGGAATTATAGTTTCTGTTTACTTCAATCACAGGAGCTCTATTGAGCCACATAATATTTATATTTAAGAAGAATAGACAATGAATTTTGCAATATGCAGTTTTTATTTGCAAATCCATGCAAAAATGAAGATTCTTATTTACTGGGTTATGGTGCTGTGTAGTCTGTTAGAAGTTTACTGATTTTTCATAGGTTCTTGCAGACTCCATCATCAGGGTGATAACGCTGTAGGTGGTTTCAATCGTCTCTGAAACGTCAGTGAATTTTTACCTCGCAACATGGCAGCAGGACCCAGAAGACTGCCATCTTAATTTTTGCATGGATGCTTGCCACTTTGAGAACCTGCAATTCCTTTCAAAAATGTTTATATATGGTTTGTTGTGTGCACAGTTGATTGTCTGCAATTTGTGGTGTTAATTGGTCATGATGATGTGTTTGCAGTCTTATTCAGGTGTCCCTAGACATTGCTGAAGAGCGTAACACAGGACAATCACGCGCTCTTGCTGTGGAACAGTGCCAGTGTCCTATAGGCCACCGTGGATTATCTTGTGAGGACTGTGATGTCGGTTATACTCGTTCTGAGGGTGGACTGTACTTGGGAAATTGTGAGCCTTGCAGTTGCCATGGGCATTCAAATGAGTGTGATCCAGAAACCGGAATTTGCGTAGTATGTAACACTTCTTTCTTAAGGTTGTCACATTTCCAAACAAACAGATTTCTAGTGACTTTCCTTTCTTTAAACTACAAATGTGATGCTGAGGTATCTGTTTCCAGAGCACTTCCATACATAAAAGTTGAAAACTTTAATCTTCACCTAACTAAATATGTAGTCATTATGTTATTTCTCCTTTTTTACTCTTAATGAGTCTCCTACCCATACTGCCAGATCTAATGACATAATCATTCTCTTCTCTGCCACATAAAATCCTCGCTGGATGTCCTGTGGTTTCAGCACACTGTATTTTTCATTTCAAATTCCAGTATTGTTTCAGGAATTATGTGCTTATGTAGCTCTTGGTCCATAGAGACAGCTTTGTTTATGAGTTCACTTTTCAGAATTGTGCAGACCACACAACTGGTGACCAGTGTGACATTTGCGAGGAAGGCTACACAGGAGATGCCACGCAGGGCACTCGGTCAGACTGTAGACCGTCCGGACCTCTTCCACAATGTAGGTGTGACAGCAGAGGCAGTGTTCGAGCTGATTGTCCAGATGGTAACCAGTGTGTTTGCAAGGTTTGTGTCATTTAGTTTAAAACACAGTTAAAGTATATGTTAAAGAGTGCTAATTGCAACAATAAATGTAATAGTATTCATTGTAAATTATTTCATATATCATGCTTCATTTAAGTATGTAGTTTTAATAATATGACAACTAAGTAATGTTTAAAATTTAAAGGTATAAGTCCAAGAATACCCTCTGTTATGGTCACATCAAAACCCTGATTATGGGGACAGAGATGGTCTCTGATATGTCTGATTCATCGTTAAACAATCAGACGCGGCTGATCACTCGAGAAGATTTTATCAAATTACGTCGCTGCGAAAGCTTGAAATCATATATTCCGTACATAATAATGAAGAGGTTAATTGTGAAGTGGTAATGTTATTTATATTAAAGTACTTTTATCGCATGTTAGCCTCTTACTTACAAGTTAGTGCAAGTGTTGATATTTATTTATTTGCATTAAAACATGTCGATTAGTTATGTGGTTCTTGCAGACAAATGTTGAAGGAAGAAACTGTGACCGCTGTCGGCCCGGAACGTTCTCATTGTCTGAGAACCACATTGAAGGCTGTTTGGAATGTTTCTGTAGTGGAACAACAGATACTTGTCAGCAGGCAAACCTCTACAAGACCCAGATCCCAATGCAGGTGGTCGACTCTACTCATGGATTTACTTTAAGTGATAGGTATGTATCAGCAACAACTTATCTTTACTGTGAATGTACATAAAATAGATATGTTCAGTAACAACACACTTTGTATCTGTGTGTTTTATATGAATGTCAGTGTAAGCAGTGATTAATTATTTCCGTAAACAGCATTAACCAGTTGTTCTTTGCAGTGATGATGTGTTGTATTTAGTTTGTGGTATGGACTGAATTCTTGAATATTATTGGATCTTGTGTATCTTACAAATGACGGTAATAAGCTGTTACCTGTAATGCTGATTACTTGGCCGTGTTAAAGTGAACTGTTCAGCGAGAGAGAGCATCTGTACAACAAACACATGGACTTTTTAATTTAAAGTTAATTTCAGGGTTATGTTTATAAAATGATATTTGAGGTTGGCAGCAAGTGTTGTTGTGCCATGTAATCTGGTAGAAGCTTACCGACGTTTCAGTGGCCCTTGCTGCTTCCGTCATCACCCTGCTGATGGAGGGAGTAAGCACATCTGAAATGTCAGTAAACTTATAAGTGCTTAGTAAAATTTGGTGAAGTGTACAGTTGTCAAAATTAGTAACTTTTTTATATGTATATTCATGGTTTGTATGTTAGTATTTGATGACTGTTGTCAGAGAGACGATATATTGTTTTAGGGAAGTGTGTCTTGGAACAGTGGGATAATCAGAAAATGTGTTTATAGTTGTCAGAATTACCTGTAATTTATATTGTGTTTTATGTAAAAAAATTGCTATAATTTACAGAAATTTCACTTTTGATTTTCAGACATCGAAATGAAGCGGTTCGTGAAAACTTAAGAGTGAATGAGAGAAGCAATGAAATTGGATATGACTTTCCAGTAGGACGCGCTCAGACTCTGTTCTGGTCGCTACCGCCAGCATTTACTGGGAACAGAGTTAGTAACATTTGTGGAACAATTTTACACGTGGTTCTAATTAATTTTCCCTCTGGACTGCAACATTACCAGCTGCATAGAGGATTTTGTTTAATTTGATCAATTTTTCTTGTAACATACTTATTGCTTCTTTTGTAAATGACAGTCATAAATTCTTAGTGCAATATAAAAATGCATGGTTTTGCAGCCATAGCTTGTCTTTACATTGTTAAAACTTGTATAAATGATAAAAATATGTTTTGGGATAGTTGTCTTTATATCCGAGTTAATTTACTTTGTTTCAGATTACCTCGTATGGTGGAAACCTAACAGTGACACAGCTGTACAGAACTTTGCCTGGTGCAAGCTACTCTTCCGACACTGATATTATAATTTATGGCAGTGGAATTTCTATTTACTGGACCAACATAGATCAAATTATTCCTGATCGAGCAGTGGTTAGTTAAATATACTTTTTGTACGTACCATGCACATTCCTTATTGTGTGTACTTATCACTGAAAGACTTTACTTTCAAAAGACAACTGAAGATGACTGTCCATTATCAGGGTAATATTGCCCTGATGATTGAGGCTGCAAGCTCTTCTGAATCATCTGTAAGCCTCTACAAGACTATAGTTCGCAACTGTAATCTTGAGACCTGCAAGGAATGTAGGAAGTCTGAAGCGTTTAAGGCAGACGCTATCTTTCCTCCTTCACCCCCACAAGTTTCAAGATTACAGTCACGAACAGTACACAGTGCAACAACCCAGATAACAGTTATTATCATATTTGCTGCCATGACACTCAGTCGACCAATACTTGAGATGTTACCATTTTGTCAGTTGTACCTATAACTACAATCATATCACCACAAATTTGTCGTTACATTATAAGAAAACTATTAGTGTTCGTGTTTTATAATTGTTATAAATTTGCACTTCTTTGCACTGCTGTTTGAATGCCTATCAAACCACCCTGTTACATGCCAATGTTGGCACTTACAGGAGAGGAGGTTTGTAGGTCCTTGTTCAATAATTACTGTGTGTAAGACTACATGGCAACACAATCTAGACGCCTGCAATAAACATGAGAACCTCAAATTTAAAAAGAAACAATATTGTGTTTGTCTAATATAAGCATTTGTTGTAGTGAGAATTTATTCTTTCATTAAGCAAACTGTTAATTGTTATGGCTTTCCTCAATTTTATCTGGTCTGCATCCATTCATAGGAAAGGGTTTATTTATGAATAACTGATGTCACCGTTTCAGATTACTGTTCTGGTAACAACAGACTACAAAATATACTCACAGTTTTGCCCTTGTGCCTCCACACAGCATTGTGTGTTACATGTGTTCATGCCCTGAAGTAAATTAACTCTCTTTCATTTTGTATTCTCTGTAATGGTTCTGCTACACCATTAAAGGCCATAACATATACAGTACTTCTAAGAAGGAACCCATAAATAAAAATCCAACTGAATTAAGTCAGTTATCTTGAAGGCAATAGTTAATTTACAGTGTCCAAGGACCCATGTTAACATAGATATTATCAAAGATTTCTGTCTTTTGGGGTTGTTGCGCTGTGTAGTCTGGTCGATGTTAATTTATGCACAGAACATGCCTCTAAAGTGGTGTAGTTTATTTTAGAAACACCGTGCAAGTCACAAATGGTTAGTATGAGGTTTTCCTGTGAAAATATTGTATATATTTTCTGTATTTCCCCATATGTGCCACAGAATAAGTTTTGGAAACTTCAATGTAACTTGTAGGATTTGAGGTTTTTACAGCGGTGAGTCTGAATATTTCTGTCTTCTAGGTTGTTGTGCTGTGTAGTCTGGTCGATGTTAACCAACGTTTCTGAGGTCATACTGCCTCCGTCATCAGGGCGATGAATGTGCCAATCGAGCGGAAATGTAACTTATAATCTTGTGAATTTGACTAGTTTTCAGAATAACCAACATTCTCTTTTTGAGACCACCGACAACTCCAAAACGATTTATTAAATTTTGTTGTAATTTCAGGCATTCTCTGTGCCGTTGGTAGAGAATTTCTGGAGACGATTGGACCAGGTAGCAGGACAGAAAGTAGCATCTAGGGCTGATTTACTAACTGTCTTGTCTGATGTCGAAGCCATCTTGGTTCGAGCCTCACACAGCTCACAGACAAGGAGTACATACATCAGTGACGTCTCTCTGGATACTGCTGTTCCTCAGTATACGGAACAGGGATTGGTTACTGAAGTAGAGAACTGCCATTGTCCCCCTGGCTACAGAGGAACTTCTTGTGAGGTAAGAAATTTTGGATTGACAGTGGAAGACGGTGTAAATATATGAACTAAAATATTTAAACACATTTATTTCTTTGGCTTGTGTAGTTTATTTTCCTGTACCATCTAATTCTTCGCCTTCTTTACTCTGCTTTTGGATTTTATTTTATTACAGTCTTTGATATCCTTTTACCATTTATTTTTTTCCAAATGTGAAACAAATTTTTGTCTGGAGTGAATGTTTGTTATTACATATGTATAGAGTACCTTATTGCATTGTTGAAGAAGTGGCTTAAAAAGGTATTGGCCAGTATTTACACCAGGGGTTCTCAGGTGATGGCCCATGTACTGCATGTGGCCCATTGATTTGTTTTATGCTGTCTGAGTACATCTGATGAAATGTTGTCTTGTATGATGAAAGATACTTTTGTCAGGAAATAGGTTGTATTAACGTCAATATTTGGCAGTACCTCTTGCCATGATCAACATTTTATCTAATTGACAAGTCAAGTAATGTAGTAGGATGTTTCTTCTCGGTGAACACTTTGAGGGATGCTTGTAATTACAACAATTAAACCCAATGGAGTGGATTCCCAATTGTCCGGGGGATGTATTAACTGGGTTGTGGGTTAACTGGATCTGTCTGGTTTAAACAAGTACTAAAAATTAATTTAGAAAATCTTTTGTAAAAGTTATAATAATAATCCGTGGCATAACAGCCCTCTGAGAGCCAAAGCTAGGTTGTTTGAAAAGAAAGGAATAAATACAACAATTACATAATAGTTAATATTTTAATATAAATCAATACTTTACAGGTATCACTGTGCACAGCCAGTGGTTGAAGTAGGCTGATTACGTTAACTGCTTTATGTAGAAATATTTATTTTATGGATTATATTCTTAGACTGCATATTTAAGTGAGCCCTTTTGCTTTTAGAATTTGAAGTAAGGAGGATGGGGTAAATATGATCGTTGTTGATAGGAAAGTCTCAGGAGAGATGGCTGTCCTCTTTATTGTTGAGCTGTGTAGTCTAGCATTTCAGAGGTGCTTGCTGCCTCCATCGTCAGGACAATCTAAAGTGTCAGCAGAATTATGATAGTACTGAATTTCAGCTGTGTTCTTCTGGCTACTACCGAGACTTCAGTGACCGCTCTGCTAGTGTGCTTGGTGCCTGCTCAAAGTGTCCTTGCAATGGCAAAGAAGAGAGTTGCTCTGTTTCATATGATGGTCGTGTCACTTGCAGGTGTCTGCCAGGCTATACTGGTCGATACTGTGACAGTGTTGGTAAGTGGATAATTGTTCTTTGAAGGTGAACCTTTCTTTTCTGTCTTTCTTCTCATCTTAACAATAAATTAGATGTACCTGCTTATGCATGTGCCCTTTGGATCCTAGACATTTTCTTATGTTCATTTAATTTTATGTAGTATTACATTATGAGGATTATCCTTTGAATTTTAAATTCAATTCTTTCTTTATATATCACCTTCTTAAGTTGTATGTATACTTCACTGTTTTCTTATATTTATACATGTATCTTAACAGTATATTTTATATTTTGTTTTTTCTCTTTTTACACATTAGTATTTGTTAAATTAATTTTTTTGTTAATTATAGTTTTCTATCATGTTGTTCTTTTAATAATTTATCTGTTTTGTTCATCTACTAATCTGAAATAACCGTACTGTTACCTTGTAATGACCAGGTCTAGAGATGAAGTTATTTCCGAACCTGGTTAGCCAACCCGTTGGCTCACAGGTTGACTTCACATGTAGCTACAACAGTAAGGAGGAATTGACCGTCAAATTTGAAGAAGTGTCCAGCGTTGTGACGCGACATACAGGCAATGGAAATGGTGGTTATGTTGGCCACACTGTGCAGAGATATGACTGGGGTGCAGAAAGTGTGTACCATCTGTGGATCCGTGCTGACCACACAGAACTAACATGCACTGTGTACAACAGAGAAGGCATTGCTATGGGTACTCTGAAGGCCATGATACGTCACCCAGGTTTGCTAACATTGAAGAACATTTAATTTGTTTGTTCTTCCCAGCTTTGGCTTCAGCGATGGGGATAAAATTCAAATCTTCATGCTTTTTGTTGTCATGTCCTGTTCCTGAGTGATGTCTGCCAACTTGTCTTGTCATTTTGTTTTGCTTGTATATTTGTTTTATTTCTTCATTTGTCAATGTGTACATAAGAGGGAGCATTCATAATTATAATGTTACTGGTATGTATATGAGCCGGGATAGCTCAGTCAGTATAGTGACTGGCTACGGGCTGGACGGCCGGGGGTCGATCCCCGACGGGGCAGAGGATTTTTCCTCTAGCCTCTGGGGCCCACCCAGCCTCCTCTACAATGGGTACCGGGTTCTTTCCCGGGGGTAAAGCCGGCCGGGGCGTGATGCTGACCACTCACCCCCATCTAGTGCCGAGGTCAAGGAAGAGAGGAGCTATACCTCCTCTCACCCCAAGCGCCTACATGGCGTATAGTGGGACAAACTTTACTTTACTTTTTACTGGTATGTATAGGATTTTAAAGGCATTTATTTCAGTTTAGCATTGTGAGACTATAGTTAATTACATGATGAAGAGCTTCACAAATTATATTCTTCTGTTGGTAGTGCTGGAGTAAATGTATCAATAGGATACGGTGTGATGATATGAAACTTTCCTAAAGAATACAAGAAATATGTTCTAGATTTTGGCTATAATACCTCAAGGAATGCAATCTCATAGGAAGTCAAGTTGTATATGGAAGGTTATGTTAAATTGTGTCTTTGTCTAATTTGTTATTAAAGTGCAAACTGGACTGAGCAGTCTCAGGGTAGGATCCAGCGGGGATTTTGTTATTGACAGTGCTGCAGGGGATATCTTCTATCCAAAGAAGATTATATACTGGGATTGAGTTTTGGTATACATCTATGCAGCATTGTCATTTTTATCATTTGTATCAGTTGTACCAAATTCCAAGGTATATACTGCTCTTTTACTGTGTCACATTTAGGGAAGTTATTTTAGCCTCAATTGGTACTTTGTGTTTATCAGTTTTGCTTTTTATGTGGTTAAACCAGGATTTGATCACTTGACTGACATTTGTTTGGATAATGATATAAAATTTTTATATTTCTGAAGTTCTGTGAATATGTCAAAATGTTTATTAATGTTACAAGCCGTTTTATCACAAGTTGTGCATGGTCCATCAGGCCATGTGTCACAGTAGTATTATTTCTAATAACTTGATTGTGGGGTTAAAGTCTGGCCATGAGCCTTGTATTTTGGGGTTAAATTCCTTATTCACATGCAATAAAGGTTAGAAAAGAATGTTTCTTTTTAAAGGTTTAGGTAGTAAGATGTTTGTGTTTTGATTTTTTTATCATTGATGTGAATGACATTTCATCATCATTTGGATGAGGACAGGGGCCATTGGCTGGGTTTTGTGAACATGTTGGTGAATTATGTGGTTCCTTGGAAGGTAGGGAATTTGTTAACTAGGTGAGTGACTTAACTTCTGAAAGAGCACTTTATTCCATGCTCTTAGTTAATTACTTAATCGTTAGAGATGTAATACGGAAATATTTTTTTATTTTAAGCTCCGTCCAGAAATGACACTAATACATGTAACAAAGGGAATGTCATTAGTATTGATCTGTGAATGGTTCTTCTAATGTGGGAACAGACGATTGTTCTTATCAGTGAAACATTTTATGTCTTTGGATATCCGGACTTTTGGTACTGTCATGTTCATTCACTGTGAGACTAGTTGTTCATAACTATAATTATGTAATATATTTTTATTGTGCTCATAGGATGTTTGGAATTGAAACATTCAGAAACCTTATATCTTCCTTGTAAATACTCCACTACCTTTAAAATTATTTTCATTTTTGATGTATATGTCTTAATGTCTCTGTCTGTGTGTTATTGTGTGTATACAGGGCTGAACATATGGTGGAATTTTGCTTGGCCCCGTGCCACGCCACTCCACACTGATATCTATTGTCCTTTCTGATATTTTGGGGTGGAAATGTTTGTGTTCCTGTGTTCTTTGGTTCTTTTTCAGATATGGGTGCTTTCCACGCAATTATGCCAGTGTCCGCCTTGTTTATGTTCTGGATTTCGGTGCCCTATAGACTCCTCCGTATGTTCAAGTGTTTTGGACAAACTTACTGTTTCCATATTCATCACTGAAGATGGAGAGAGAATGTTTCTCCAAAATGTTGGCATTAACCAATGAGTTTGCATGACACTAAACCCAGGAGAACAACATAAGTGTTCTTAGTGCTGTTAAAACTTTAAATGTCAACATACTAATATCGATACCTTTACTCGACTGAACATTCTGTGTAGTTAGACTTTGTTTCTTGGGATATGTTCTGAAGAACTTGAACCGTAAGAGTGAATATGTGAATTACGTGTTCTCTAAAATAACTGTATATTACTTTCAGATGGAGGGGTGACAACTGTGTTTCCCCCAACTCGGCCCCCACCTCCTCAACCTACCATCGTCATTTCTGTTTCTGAACCATCTATAAAGATTGTTGATGTTGGCAGCACTGTTCGCTACAGATGTTCTGGAAGATCAATCTTGGAGGTTTGTCACTATGTCGTAGTAGGTGGTGTTGGATTGTGAAAGAGGTTATTGAACAAGAGATCACCCAGGAAATTTCATTTACAAAATATAATTACAAATTTATCTATTGAATTAGAGATGTCAGTTGTTGTAGAAAAATTTAGATTTTTTAAAAGAATATTTTCTTTGCATAAACTGATGTAATCTTTTATCATTTCTGTTATGATTCCTTCTTGGTGATTATAGTTTCAGTTCTTGACTGCTAGCTTGTGTTATGTATGTATATAGAGCATATACCTTAAATATGCTACAGTAAGTAAATAAATAAAAAAACTTTTTATATTTAGATACCTGTAACACTGCAGTGGAGTAAGGAAGGTGGAGATCTTCCGAGAGACAGGGCATTTGATGACCAACAAGGACTTCTGGTCATCACAGATGTTCACGTCTCTGACTCAGGAATATACATCTGCTCTGCTACAGATGGCCAGTCTATTGTTACTGAAAGAGTTGAGTTGGCAGTTGGAGGTCAGTACAGCATTCATTAGCAACAGTAGTAAATAGAATTATTTGTAGTGTGCTGTGATTCTCCACATAAAAGGTGATTACATATCTCGCTTTGTTTTACATGCTGCTTGATTAGATTTCCCAGAAAGTTACATCAGCACCCCAGGTATGAATACATACTGACTTTACTTAGGTCATAGTTCCATTTTTGGTTTGATTTTTCTTCTGCTTAGGAATGGTTTTCCTTCGTGGTAAGATTTCAGACTGTCACGGTGAATGTGAAGATAGCTGTCGGCTGGGATATTACGCCATGTTATCTGGTAGAAGTTTACTGATGTATCAGAGGCCTTGCTGCATTCATTATCAGGTTGGTGGTGGAGGCAGCAAGCACCTCTGAAACGTCGGTAAACTTCAGCTGAACTGCATGAAGCAGTATCCCAGAAGACAGCAACCTTCATTCTTATTTTTCTTTGTTTATAATTTCAGGCAAGTGAAATAATTCTGTCATGTCATTATTTTTAAATGTTCTGTCAATAATATTTAATGTAAATATTTTCAGTTCTTAGAAGATGGCTGTCTTCTGAGTTGTTCTGTTTAGTCTAGTACAGTGGTATTCAACCTTTTTTGTTCGCATACCCCCAGATATAATTTCTCTTCAACTTTGTACCCCCAAAGTTGTTGGTGTATAATTCAAGTACGAATAATTTTTATCATAATTTTCTCATATGTAATTCAAAACCAATATAGAAAAGTCGTAATTGTGCATCCTAAGAGCAGCCCCTCTTCTTCTTGTAGTCTCTTGATTGAATCTTATTCATGGATAATTTAATGATTCATAATTTGTATAAGTTTAGAATATACGTAGTTTTAGCAGCAGAATGTATGAAGTCTTCTTAGCGAAGCATATTCTGACATCATGATGGTTTTATAGGCCCCCACCAGACACCACCACAAGTCACGATCCTTCCTCGGTTCTTGGAAGTGAAAGAAGGAGGCCCAGTTGAGTTCCGCTGTGAATCAACTGGTAATCCGGCACCAACACTTCGATGGAACATTGGTGGCAATAAGCAGCTGAATCCTGAAGTAAGTTGGCAGAACGGACTGTAATCATTTAGCTGTTGCACAAATTTTGTGATCATAATGTGAGAGATGCCACTATTTATCTGTTGATTTAATAGCAGTGAATGTTGTCTGTATGTATCATACAAGGGTGCAAACTAAACTGCACCCTTTAAATTAGACATTCCTGAATATTTCTGCGAGGTTTCATAGTTCTGACACCTGTAAACTCTGAAATGATGCAGTGCAAGGTAAAAATGTCTGTGCAGAGTAAGCAGTATGCAATAATTTGAGTTTTTGACTACATAAAGCTTTTCACTGATTGCAGTTCATCAGTGACAATTATGTAGACATTACAATTTTTTTGACATTTAAGTGCATGTGCCCATGAAGCAAAACCTCTGACACTCAAGCCTGAATTTCAAGCATTTTTATGGAGATTTTTCATTTTATTTGACCCCTGGTTTTGGAGGTCTCTCTTTAAACTTAAAGGTAGTCTTACACCAGTGTATACAGTAAGTAAAATTCATAGATTAATTTTCACAGACTGCAGTGTTTATCTCGCACCAAGCAGCTATCACTGAACCAGTATTATTGAGCAAGGGGTGTTTAACTTGGTTTGCTTGATCTTTCCAGGCATCTTTCTCAAACGGTATTTTCCGCATACCCGCAGCTCGAAAGTCTGATGAGTCAGATTATGAGTGTATAGCTACCAATCCTTCAGGGTCTGATACACAGCGCACAATTCTGTATGTTACTGGTAAGTTTGTAAATTATTTTGAAGTTTTTAAAGTTATTTAATGATTCTATTTCAATACAGCTTTGTACTGGACATTTAAAATCTCTCATGAAAGTACCACAAATACTCTTCCACTTGTTATCTTTAAAGGGTTAACATTGGATTGGGCTTGGTAGTCCCCCTTTACACAAACTTTTGATTTTGTTTTGTGTGAGGGAAGTGGAAGGCTTTATGGACGAATCTGCATTAGATACTGTTGGCCTTGAAGCTGAAGTATTCTTCACTAGAATCAGATCTCTAATATCCCTCTCATTTTGTATGTATGGGCACAGCATCATTGCTGTTACATGGACTTATTAGTTATGTTTCATTCTGGAGTGCATGTGTTATGATCTAAATCAAAAATATATAAATCCCAGTGAAGTAAATGATGGTTTATAGTACCCTAAAGTGTACCAACATACGAGCTTTTTCCTGGAAAGTATACTGAGACTATATTCATAAATTTTTGCATAGAATCATGATCTTCTAATTTTCACTGTTCTACTGCCTCATTCTCACCAAGAATTTAGAGAGTCATCTTCTCTAATAACCTTCTTAGTGTTTGCTGTTATAACAGTTGAATTAAAGTACATATTTTTTTTATTCATGGAAGAAAGTTGAAAAGTTGATATATTTATCAAAGAGGATGAAAACAATCTTGTATTGGACTATGAAATTATTGTTACCATTGCAGAAGGGATATCGCCTGGTCCTAGTATAAAGCTGACCGTCGAACCACCAGAGTACGCAGGGCCTGGAGGAGAAACAGTCCGACTGAGTTGTCTGGTTGGAGAAGATCGTGGATCATATCACATACGCTGGTCCCGAGCAAATGGACGGGACCTTCCATCCGGTGCAGTGCAAAGTGATGGTATTCTCACCATCTACAATGCCTCTCCAGCTGACTCCGATGTTTACGTGTGCACAGCAACACTGAGGAGTACAGGGGCAGTGGCCCAGATTCAGGCCAGGGTCACTATCGTCTCCAACCGGTGGGTGGTTAAATTGATTGCTACTTGCTCATAGGTACAAGCCTGTTTGCTTGTCAGATACTTGTCTACTTTGTCTGTGGAAGTTTATTACACTCGGTAATTTATCATTTGCTTCCATGTGATGTATTAACAATAATACTGTTTTGTATGATTTGAGGCAGTATGGCCTCTGAAACATTGATGGAAATCTATTATACTGCACGGCGCAACAACCTAGAAGACAGAAATCTTCAGTACTGCTTCAGTCTTTCGGTTCTTTGCATTCTTCCAATGTCATTAAGTGCCTGCCTGAATCTTTTGTTGTTTTGGAAATTTTTAAAATATTTTTAAACCTTTTATGACACCTTGTTATTTGACTATATTTCATATCATATTTCCCCAAATTTTGTTAAAGAATATTATGTTGTGTTTCCGTTGTCTATCCAGTAATCTGTACCAGCATATCTTGTCAGTTTTTTTACATTTCACAGCATATAAGCCGTCCAGCAAAGATCACTATGCTTACGTTTATCATAAGGGTGCTAAGGCAATGCATGGAAAGCTAGACTGCACATATGATGTAATGTGGAAATTAGTGAGGGCTGAAAAAGTAGGTGGTATGACTGGGTACTGGTGGAAGTGAGATTGAATTGAAAGAAGTCGGATAATCAGCAGGTAAATACAAGAAGAAATCGACGTGGAGAAAGAGAGCAGTCCATAGATAACAGTGATCATATGTTTGCGTATAAAGGTTATAGTATAATGTATGTAGTGTGATATTATTGCAGTGTATCTGTACAGTATTGAGACAGCATTATGTATGCGTTTGCAGAGTGCCTCCTACTGTCCGGATAGAGCCAGAAACTCAGACGATATCACAAGGAACGGTGGGAGAGCTGAGATGTACTGCCACAGGAGATCCTACACCGAGCATCAGATGGAGCAAATTGAATGAGGAGCTTGGTGGTAATGTTCAGGTAAACCTAACACTGAGTCAGTTATTTTTAGCATTGGAGTGTAGCGTTTAAACTTTAAACTCCAGAAATGAAAAATGCTTTGCAATGTTAACTAATCTAATAATTATAGTTAATGGAGTATTTTACAGATATATTTACCATAGTGAAAAATTAACTTTTTCATGCAAGTGGTATAAATGTGAATGTGTTGAATGGTAGTATCTTCAGATATTTATCCTTTTCAGTTGATATTATTTCAGGTTATCACAGTGGCACATATAAAGATGACTGTTTTCTGAGATGTTGTGTCATGTAGTCTGGTAGCAGTTGACTTGATATTTCAGAAGTGCTTACTGCCTCCATCGTCATGGGCCTGGTGCAACATTCCGTAAGACTGTCATCTTCATTCTCAGTTGATGACTGCCACTGTTTAAGATAAATTGGAGTCAGTAAGAGGATACCAAATCTGCATACTAACGATATTTGCCACAGAGAATTCTTGTGTTCAGATGTGTTACTTGGCATTGGAAAAATGGATATTAAATGGTTACCATTTTTGGGATGTTTGTGGGCTTTATGGTTTTTAAATCAAAAAAGTTTGTATTTACTCATTTGCAGTGTTTTGGGAAATTTCAATAGGGATTGAATATGAATTCGATAATTATGTTATTTAGACTACTTTGCTCATGAAATTTGGACTCTAGAAAGGTTTAAGTCTCACAGTAAGTTCCAGTCTTTTGTGTGCTGTGTTTCAGGCAGTAGGACCTGTGCTGAGGATTATCAATGCTCTGGTACGAGACAGAGGTGTGTACATATGTACTGCAGAAAATGCTGGTGGGAGTTCTGTGACATCGGCTGTCGTGGAAGTTGAGCGTAAGTGGCCTGAATATACTACAGCTACTGCCTGTGTGCCAGCAGAAGTCCGCTGGTAGGAGGGTGGGCGTGAACGGCTATGCAGCATTTTTTCACAAAACGTGTTTCACCCTTGCGGAGACTACTGTAGTACAGTGTGTTTGGAGCAGGAATAGGCAGATTGCACATATGCAGTAAGATCCCCCCCCACACACACACACCTACCTGCTTCTGCTTTCCTGCAGACTTCTCTTGTCACATGGACAGTACTTATGGTCATGTGTGTCACATGGCTTTGAAGTTGAATTTTACACACAGAATTTCAGACATGTTGCATTTGTGTTTTGTTTAATCGAACTACCCCAGCTCAGTCAGTATAGTGACTGGTTATGGACTGGATGACCAGGTTTGATCCCCGACGAGGGCACAGGATTTATCCTTTAGCCTCTGCATCCAGACGCTCTGGGGCCCACCCAGCCTCCTATCCAATGGGTACTGGTGTCCTTTCCGGGGGGGTTAAGCACGGCCAGGGCATGATGCTAACCATTCACCCCATCTAGTGCTGAAGTTTAGAATGAGTAGGAGCTATACCACCTCTCTCCCCAAGCGCCTGCATGGCATATAGTGGGACAGCTTTACTTTTACCTAATCAAACTATGACATAGTTTCTTACCTGAGTCATAACTCTCATGTGATTCACAAGGTACTAAGTCATTGGCATTTATCTCAAGTTTCACTTTCCTTTATTGAAGCTTGTGAAAGAACTCCCTGGTTGACGGACCTTTCATTACTGTAGTTTGTATTTCTGGCATTCACATGAAAACAGATAATAGCTACGTCTCTATACAACTGAATTTTTAGCAAAATGTTATTTGTTAGCTTTCAGTTTTGATTTCAAGTTACTGTTGATTTTATAAAATCACTTTTTATTGATACAACTGTAATTTTCATATTGTTTTATCAAATATCACACAGTTTGATGATTGTTCACCATTATGCTTAGATAATGTGTATTTGCTTATATCACTGTTTCTCAGTGAGAAAATTTTTGCTTTTTGTTCATTGACTAATTCCTAAATAATGTGATGCGTTTCATAAAGAAAGGTTGTGTCATGTAGTCTCTTAGAAGTTGGTTGGTATTTCAGAGGTACTTGACTCCGTCCATCATGAGGGTATTGCAGTAAGTGCCTCTGTAATGTTGGTCAGCTTCTATGGGACTTCACTGCACAATATCACGTAAGGCTGTCGTCTTCATAGTTAGTGTTGTAAGAACCTGAAATTTTGCATTGTGATGATTGTGCAGGCCGAGAACCTCCTGCTGTTGAGGTGTACCCTGAGGCAACGCAGACTGTGATAGCTGGTGGAAGTGTTCTGCTGCAGTGTCGAGTAACAGGAGGAATCCCTTCACCACGTGTTAGTTGGACCCGCACCAATGGACGTCCCTTGTCATCAATCATTGAAGAACTGCCCGGTGGAGTGCTCAGGTAACAGTCTCTTCTGCATACTGAGACTCTGCGATTTATCCCTCTCAGTCTTGTCTTGTTTGCTTCATTTCCGACTCAGTTCTTTAATAATCTAGTCATTCTCAACAACTGTTACTTCTCAATGCCATTTCTCTGAAATGTATCCTGGTGGACCATCCACATAATTCACTGTGAAATCACTCTTGCACCTGGTCTTTGAAATAATGTTAGCAGTATGATTAATTTTCCCTGTTATATAAAATCCCAATTCATATTTGATAGTGGCTGTCTTCTGGGATGTAGTGCCATGTAGTCTGGTATAAGTTGGTCATTGTTCATACTCGCCACCATGAGAACCTCAAATCCTACTTTCCAATGTATCTTTGTTGGTGCAGATTTAGTCAAGTGACTCAAGCGGAGTCAGGCCAGTATATTTGCCATGCAGAGAGTGAGGCAGGTTCTACCACTGCCATAGCGACGCTGGTGGTGCAGTCTACGCCAACGATCACCATATCCCCTTCCAATGACGTACAAGTCGTCGTCGGACAGAGAGTGAGGTTAGAATGTCGGGCCACCGGAGATCCTCCGCCAACAGTGGAGTGGTCAAAACACAGAACTGGCTATGCTTTCTAGTAAGTACCTCGGCTTGTCTTATATGAGGTTGAGGTTTTCACAGCAATAGACATGTGATTTATGATCATCTAAGTTGTGACACCATATGGAGTTCATCACATCCATCTCTTCAAATGTGAAGATGGAGGCATTACATTCTTCTGAAACATTTGTAACCACCTGTAAGTTCTTGTGATGTCACAATCCAGAAGACCACAATATTTAAGCTGATTTAGCGAATATCTGGGTTAGTGGTCTGCAACTTGCAGCTCATGGGCTGCGTCTGGCCTTCACAGCCTGTATATGAGGCCTGCACATGTGATTTGGGAATTAGACATTTTGAGAAAGGCAGACTTTTTCTGTTACTGAGGAAAACTTGTATTAAAGATAGATATATATATATATATATATATATGCATTAGCTAAATGTAATGGTACACAATCACAAAATATAATTATGTAACAAGAATCTTGCAGATGTATGCCTGTAATGTTAAAATTATGTTATTGCTAAAATTTGCATTGTTCCATTGTTGAAACCAAATGAAATATTTATTCACTGCTATGAAAATCCCAAATCCTACTATATTAAATTTAATTAAACAGCATGAAAATTTCTGTGGTGCTAATAACTGAAGTTTTTTAAATTAACTGTATCTTGAAATTAAAAATTATTGGTAGCTAATTAAGGGAGAGAAGGAGAAGCACAAAGGATAATTTCTCAGAAGAGAATTGTTTTAGAATAGATATTCTGCTTGTAAAGGAAGAGAAAATTATACTTTAGGTGGAACTTCTCTGATTTTTTAAGGAAGGGGTTTATGAAGTGAAAAGTATGTGAAACCATTTCCAGTTTTGTGAAACCCAAAGATTCATTACTACATTGAAAACCTTACAGATGACTGTGCTTTGACCAAATTTAATCAACTCCATATTATTGATAGTGTTTCAACTACAGCAAAATATTTATTTTCAGTGACACACATCCTGTAACTAGTGTGACACCGCAGACAGCTGTGTATGAGATTACTCGTGTAACAAAGGCAGATGAAGGGTCATACAGTTGTTTGGCACGCAATGCAGCTGGAACTGCTGAAGAGAGGTTGCATCTTACAGTGGAAGAAAATGAACTTACTGGTGGATCGTTTCCAGGCCGGGGAGACATACCAGGTAGATACGCACATCACTTATGCTCACTCTTTGTTTTATTGGTCCCTCTTGCAGGGAAGCAGGCAAGGTAGTGGAAGGATGTGTTACAGGAAAAGAGTGAGGTGAATGTAGATTACTCCACAAACATCTTTGAATTAAATGAAAGGAGAAATTACAAAATTCAACACCATACAATTGCCACTACTACCTCTATCATGGTGGCCTAGAAGTACTGACATCTGTAGTACTTTTGATTCTGTGAAAACATTTTCCTCAATAAGGCATTTACTTAGTTTTAGAACTCATAATAACTATTCAAGTTTGAGATTCATCCTAATCCATATAAATATAAAGCCTGCTTGATTTATTATGTATAAATAACAATGTTTTAATTTTCGTAGAAGAATTTTGAAGCTGCTTCTTTCTGTGAGTTGACCTTTCTTACAGAAATACTATCTGAGCTCTTTATTTCAATGTTGTTGTTCACAAGTGATATAGAATTTAGGTGTGGACTTCCAGATTGCTGCATTGTGTCACATTTTGACAGAAACATAAGCATAGAGCCAAAATTAAATGTTACACATTGCAACAACAGCATTATTATGAGTGTTCATATAGAATGGTATAAAACCTGTTATTGGTAAAATTTGTAATTTTGAAATTATTTATTATCTTGCTCTGGGACTATGTAGTAATTGTTTTCTGTATGTTACTCCTTACTTAGCACTTCTGTTATGGTCCTTATGCTGTTTCCATTCAGTAATATTGTTTTTTATATATATGAGTTATCTTGAGACTCATAAATTTATATTCCATGTTACAGGTGAACATGACAGCAGAACGGAACCCCCCTATTCTGGAAACACTATTTACCCAACATACGCACCTGGGAGGAATGACAGCAGGGTTGTGCTTTCAGATGATGAGTTTAGAGTCCCGGTTGAAGGTCGGGCAGAGATGAGGTGCATAGTCAGAGGTGAGTACTGCTCACAGCTTGACAAGAAAGAAAGAAACTTTTCAAGTTAGCTTCTCAGTTCCATGCTTCAAGTTTATGACAAACTTGGGAAATTACTGAGACTTTCTGGGACAGCTTAATTTTGTATGTGTTGTTATCTTCATTGCACTATACTTATAGAGTAAGTCACACTCCTGCAATTTATGTTTTCACTCATTTAGTGGTCACAACGTACATCACTGTTAAACGTCACTAATTTTATTTCCTTTATAGTCTAATGTTGAAATACTAAATGGAAATTGTTTATGTTATAAATAATTTATTTTCATGATTTTATTATTGTCACAATAGGAAACCATGACCGCATATTCTTGAATTGGATCCGCTCAGACAACTCACTGATGCCACAGAACCACCAAATCCATGAAGGCGTACTGTACATCAACAATGTTCAGCCCTCAGACGCAGGAGAATACTCGTGTCTTGGTATTGGTCCAACTGGCTCTGTTCTCTTTACTGCCACGGCCCGCCTTGTAGTCATTGGTGAGTCATTCAGTTCTTTGTGGTTGTTTCTACATGATATTTTGTAATATTATTATAAATGCCAAACACTGTAGTATTCATGTTAAAAGTAACTGTACCTTTGTCAATAAGAAACAGTGATTTTACAGATACAAATGCCTCCAGTGGTGCAATGCTCGTCTTGAAGCTAGGCATTGTATTAAGATTTGCATCATGAAGTTAATGGGTTATCTTGAAAGATTTTTGAAGTAAATGTGTTTTTAAGAAGTTTTAATAGTTTTGTGTCGTGGGGAACTGAGTTTGGGTTCAGTGAGTTGGTTGGTGAGGTAAGTGTTTAGAACAAGTTACCTAATGTAGTGTCCTGTGGGGTGCATTATAAGTGGTGTGCATGAGAGTTCTTGCTTCGTGTAATTAAAAGAGAGGATTTGAAGACATTTATTTATTAAACATTCTCATGCTAGAAGATGTAATTTGTCTACCAGAGTCAATAGATTTCTTTTTAGGTATTAATTTCTGATATGTGGATATGTGCTAGTCACAATCACAGTGTTATAAATTGTAAAAAAATGTCCGTGAGTATGAGATTTGAAGTTTCTTGTAATACCGTGTACTGCGTTGTAAGTGGTTGCATCCTCCCCCCCACCCTTTTTATGTAATTGCCTCCTTATAAGGGTATAGGAGTTGACAACATGTCTGCATGGTGTCACTTTAGAAGATTATAATGTGAAGTGTCTCATTGAATTTAATAGCTTCTTTGCATTTGAACTAATTTTAGTGTGCATATTTTTATTTCAAATTTGTTTGTTACTGTGTAGTTATTTTTAATAGAGGTTGTAACAATTTGATATAGTTTCTTACTAGTTAAATAAGAACATGTTCATAAAAATCAGTAATTATTTTACTTTTTTGCTCACAGAAGGCGACTTGTGTACCTTAAGTGAACGAGGTAAAGGAGCATAAACTATGTCATAACTTTGTAATTTTCTGTTGTGGTTGCACCTCTCTTTTATGAAGTAAGCATAAATACTTGACAGGGCTGTTACTTGATTAATTCTGTAATTCATTTACATATTACAGACTGAAATTAATTGAGGATTTATAACCCAACTTTAATACTGTACCCCTCTGTATACTGCCGCTCTTGCATTGCTCCTACTATAGCCTGAAAACAGAAATTTTCTGTGCAGTTTCAAAGTGAATTTCCTTGCCACTAGCCAACATATGTGGAATGTACCATTAGTTATTATAATTAAGTCCAATTCGGTGCCATCCTAAATAACCTGAAATGAATGAAGCTGTGGCAATGTGATGTACTTTGTGTCATATCTGCAGCTTTGTTCAATTCAAAGTTACAATTTTATTAAATCGGGACCTAATATGTGACACATTATTATTTGCAATTGTTCTAGGTTATTCTAAAAGCACATTGATTGGATCTTGTTTATTCAAATTAATTGGGCCCTCCTGAGATGAACTAGGTTTATATCCTGTAGTACTTCAAGTGTGGGGTATATAAAACAACAGCTCTCAGCTGAATATGAAATGACAGAATGAAATCATAAATATTTAGGTACAAATGTGGGTTATTTGTATGCATATTAGGGCTAGTTCTTGCTTCGCTAGTCTGTCATGCTATTTGACTTTCATATGTATATCATCATAAAGAATTGTAGGAGCAAACAGAAACAATTCAGAATTTGAGGACATGCGTTTGCACTGTGGACTTATGTAACAGAAATATCTCGTGAGCTTGAAATAGCAGTCTTCCCTCAGCAAACAGACAGACATAATTTATAATATTGTAACAGTTAATCATTACAGCCCCAGTATTTGGTTTTCTTTTATGCACTGTTTGTGTGTTTGTGGCACCGTTTCAAGTCATTTGAGTTTTTTTTTTTGTATATGCGTATATTTCCACTTTGCACAAATGTTTTTTCTGTTCCTGTTGTGCTTTTTTTACACAAGCAGACAAAATTTCATGAGTTAGAAGGTAAGGTAATATGCACATTTGTTTCTTTGTGTTGTGAGAGTACCAGAAGATTTGAAGTCTGAATATTGCCCAGTGCTAGTAATAACAGCCAGAGAGAGAGAGACATATTTTCAGAGTTCAGACCACATTTGTGTAAATTCCGTAATGTTTCATAACAATCTTTCCCTGTCATCTGTAATTGTTTCGAACACCCTTGATTCATACAGCAGAATCATAATGAAATGCACTTAAAGATACAGAATATTCACATTGGATTTTATTATTTGTTCACTTCATTAAATAATGTCTACTAATTTGTTCTTGCATAATTAAGTTTGATTAAAATTTTATGGAGGTGACTTCAGATCAAGGATAGAAAAGTATTTTTCTGCTTTGACCGCAAGACAGAATGGAAATACTCTTTTGTTTCTATCACAAGACATGTGACATATTCTCTGACAATTTGTTTATGGTTAATTTAAATGTCTTTCAATGGCCAAACCCTTATGCATTCTTGCACTTCTTTATAACAATGTTATGATGATTGCGATTTTGAAATGAATAATTTGACGTTAGCCAATTAAAATGTGGTGAATGCCCAAGGAGGAGAAAAGATTGGAAAAATATTAAATTCAGGTGATATAATAACAAATTTTTAGGTGTTAGTGTCTTGTGCATGCTGAAGATATTTGTTCAAGATCAACAACTTTATGAAGAAATATTGTCAGCTTCATGTGTGACAAAATCTGTTTTTTCCACTGATTTAGCATTGCAGTATAAATTTTTGATGTTAATATTGTGCGTAGTAGTATGCATGTTTATTTGAAGTTAATATTCTACATTGATTTTACTCTAGCTCCACCACGAATACAACTGAACCCAACTCGGCAGGTGGTTCGACCTGGTGATGATGCATTCATCCATTGCACAGCATCTGGTGATCAGCCTATTGACATCCAGTGGAGTGCTCTAGGGCGAAACTTGCCGCGCTCTGTCACTATATCACAAGGCGTGTTGCGGGTAATGCATCATTAATTAAATTGATTTCAGTAAATCATATTACTGAGGCATGAATGAAGTATAACATCGTGTTTGAAGCCAGAATATCTTTGTTACGGTACTTTCCCATGTAACATTTTCCAGTATAATCAACCTTTTATGATCTAAAGTTTCTGTGATGACTAGCATGAATAAAATCTCTTAGGGCTACACCCATATCAGAACATTAAAAGTTACTGATATTTCAGGGATCATCTGATATTGCTGATAGCCTGAGAATATTTTATTAAAATCTACCTTGAGATTGTAACTGATAAGTATTTTCCCTTGTTGCCTGACTTGGTTTTCAGAATTCTTTCTTTTATACCAATCTATGTCAGTCCAAATTCTGAGCACTTGTTACTGTTGAAAACATTTTTAATATTTAGTATTCTTCATATTATGTTTTTTTTTTCCTGTGGATCCTACAAGTAATGGAACTTTCATATAGAGTTTATTTAAAATGTTATTGCCTAATATTACCATAATAATTTTTGTTGAATTTGATTTTTATTGATTTATATATGTAATGAAAAGTGGGTTATTCTTTGACAAGCCTGAGAATACAGTCGACTTTTCAAAGAATTTCCTGCACCATAGAGTGAGTATATTATGTGACTAAAGAATTTATGCATTAACCTTTTGAAGTTTATTGAAACAGTCTGTACCTCAAAGAAAACAAAACACTTCCAGCATTACAAAGATGAACTGATTAAAGCTGTTTAAGGAAATAATAGCTTTTTACAGTGAAAACTGTATGAAACCCATAAATACAAAATTAAAATTGACTGTTGAAGTGGCTTTAAAGGGTTAAAAGGTGCTGTACAGTGTTCTACCAATGACAACTGGCTGTTTACTATCAAGCATTCTAATACTCCTTAATAGTATTAAATCACTTCAGTTATTATTTCTTCCTTCACACAGTGGCTAATAAATAAACTCGTCTAATTTCTTTATTCACATCAGTGAGACATTAAGTGAAGAATAATTTGGATATCAATTGGATGTTGAAAATTATGTGACTTAAAAGCTGAACTTAAAAGTAGTTCTGTTTTCACATCAGCAGTTATTTGCCTTGAAGGAGTTAGGAAGTGAGTGTTGAATCATAATTCCATTTGATGTGTTGCAGTTCCATGGCATTGCAGTTTCTGATGCAGGCCGTTATCTGTGTCATGCAAGGAATCCTGCCGGTGAAGCAGAGGCAGTAGCTGAGGTGGTTGTGAGTGGTAAGTAATGTGTTTTGTGTTGAAAATACAAATAATATCGTATGTGGGGATAACCGAACAGGACTGATCTTCGCTGTTGAGCACTTTGGTATGAATTATGTGGATTTCTTTGATGTAAGTGTTGAACCTTTTAGAAACAGTTTGTATGTCTGATACATCTTTGAAGGAAAGCCTGTTAAAATATAAACTGTGTTGATTAGATAATTACAATTCAACCATTAACTTTATGCCAAGATGCCTGGTACTTAGAATTCATGCAAGCACAGACATTATTCACTGGTGCTAGAGTGAAAAGTGGTCTCAGAGGTGGCATGAAATATAAATATTTCATTTCCAAACAGTCCAGAATAAAAAAAATCAAATAGAATTTCATTTGTATTTTTACATAACAATGTCTGCGGAGGTTTTCAGCGAATCAGAACCTGGAGATGGGCACGTGTGTCCAAAACATGTAATTTCATAAACTATTAGAAGGTGTGTTTAAAAAGTTATGAATTGAACAAACATCAGGTATCTTTCAGTGAAATGGTTAGGTGTACTGGGCGTGATAAATTGGACTTGAATTGTATAATAATAAGTTTTTTTAAATTACTTGAAGATGTGCTGATATATAAAAAGTGTTACTGTTGAAGCTGCTTTTACTTCTGCACTCTTGAATTTGACTGTACAGTGAAATATAAAATGTGTTGAAAAACATCAGTGGTGCATTGCACAATATAGATATGTGACTGCTATGATGAAAATATGTGAATTGGATAGTAGAGAAAAGTAGCATTTTCATAGGCCCACAGAGGTGTGATAGTAAAACTGGTATTTTTATGTGTGTTGTGTGGAACAGAAAACACTCGAGCACCTATAGTAACCGCTGTTCAACATGATCAATCAACATATGAAGGAACATCAGTGCAGCTTCGGTGTGTTGTGCCTCCCGGACCTGGTCGTCCCCCCTACATCACTTGGACACGCGATAGGTCACCTTTACCAGCCAATGCTGTTGTTCGTGGAGATGTACTGCAGTTGACCAACGTCCAGTTTTCAGATCAAGGACGTTACATTTGTGAGGTCCGAAGTGATGCCGGACATGCATCAGACTACATAAATCTTAGGGTAGACCGTAAGTATCCTCATTACCATTAGCCTTGTTGCAACTCCATACAGTGAAACCTGCTAAAAATGCAAAAAATATAATGAAGGTTCTGGTCAGATGTAGCGACAGGTTTCACTGTGTCAACACTAATATGCATGTTGTATTTCTCACATTATGCACATGTATTTTATAGTTAACAAACTAAATAATTGTTTACTAGTGCATATGCTGTATTGTTACTAATTGATTCAGAATTGTGTAGAGTTTTAACATGATGACATAGCTGTATTCAGCACATACCTTCAGTATTAACAGCACTAATGTTTATTTGATTCTTGATTTTAATTTTATTTAACTAGGTTGTGTTTTGTTTTTAAGTTTTCTATTACTGCGCATGGTTTTTATTAATATTTATGACTAATGTTTGAATTCTGTCCAGTTTACCTAACGATTTCCACTAACTTTATGCCAAACACAGTTGTTCCATGTGTCACATATTACAATACCAGTCTGTTCTCTTTTTTCCAAACAATGAAACTCGTTGACCCTTACAGTTTCTTTTTTCCAAGTGCAGTATCTGTAGCATTAGCAATAGCATATGCTGTGTATTGAATGTTTCATTTATACGTAATAAGTTAAAGGAGTTCATGCAAGAGCTGTAATCAAGAGCTTCTGTGGAGAAATTGTTTTGATTTATGAAGCAAGTACATAGAAAAGAAATGAGATATAACTTGGGCATGTACCCAACATTTATGCACATCCAAACGCATTCTACCCAGACCTATCCTAGCCTACTAGGTGAAATAAATCTCAGTGGTATGCTGTTGCAGTGAGGATAACCTATAAAAAGTGTAATTAAAACTCACCAGTGCTGCAGTAGATGCTGAAAATATTCCTGTCCTGATGGAATGTGCTCACTGTACTTGTGGAACAGTGTTAACTTGCTGGAATTCTTCCCCTGAAACTGCTGAAGTCTGATGGTTCTTGGTTCTTCTATAGTATGTGGACCTTAAAAATAATCCTACAGTTTAAATATTTCTGTTCCCATTCATTATTGAAATTGTACTCGCATTTTCTTAACCAGAAACGATTAAGATGGTGGTCCTAAAAAGGACCTCAAGTTTCTAGATGTTGCTATCCATTGGCTGACTGATATTGTCCGCAAGCCACGAGAGTAGACGTGGCCTTGTCAGCCGTTGCTTGTGTGGCAGTGGGAAAGTGGGTTCTGCGCATGCGCTGGTGATGTATTCCTTACCTAAGAACATTGTGCTATCAGTCATTCAGTACATTAGCTCATGACGTACGGCCTGTATAAGCTGCGGGTGTTTTTCAGTCCGCTAGTAGCACAGAATTCTACCCCACCTCCCTCAAAGACGTCAGGTCCACTCTCGTGGACAATATTTCTGGATCCATCTGACATAACACAAGACTTCTGCACAGCTCCATGAACCTTCAAAAAATGTAGGTATTCTGTTATCTACTTGCCCTCAAGTTACAGACTTGTAATTTCTAACACCGAAGAGCCGGCCAACCAGATCACAGTGTTGTCACAAAAATATGTACATATGTGATACATGGATATTCCCGGCTCCATCATCCTGCTAGTCGCATGGTTTGGTTTTCCCTTGTCCTTTCCCTGGCTGTTCTGCCAGCATGTTAAGAGTGCTGCTGTGATGAATAGGGGCAAGATCAGGTGGCCAGGTGGGCCGTGCAGGGAGAGAGGTGACGTACTCCTTACCCTGCAGCAATGAGCTGTTGTGTCCGCCCGTAATCACGTTCTGCGAGTGCTTCGACCCGGATTGCCTGCCCCCGCGCATAGGACGGGGTAATTGATGTAGAGTAGCGTATTCCCACATATATGTTTCCCCTCTTGTGTTTTGTCATTTCAGAAACCTTCTTTCCCTGTTTCCCATATATATAAAAGTATATTTATTCTGATTTGTTACTCATGCTGAGAATCAGACTTAACAAATTTTAGGTTATTCTCTGTTTTCTCTTTTTTAGTTTTGCTTATTTGAGGATACTTTACATTTTGGTTTAGTTGACATTATTTTGTTTTATTCTTGCAACTTAACTTAAATAACATTTCCTTTGACACTATTACTGCAAAGTATCACAGCAGAGGAACTTCTAAATCGGAGTTTGAACGTGTGGCTGCATGTGTCTCATTTACATGTTTTGTGTGGGCTGTGTACATTTTTTTAGTACTGTATTACTGTTTATAATGAAAAAGTAGTTGTCTTAAATAAAATATTTAATTGTCAGTGAATAATCAAATTTGTCAGACAGTTATTGAGTTCTTTGTAACCCTCTTTGTGATCATAAGTTAGTTGCTTGTAAAGTGACTGTCATGAAGTTTCAATGAATTATCATTTATAGTCCAGTAGTTTGCTGGTTTCTCATGTTAGAATTGTGTTATTGTTAGGTGTTTCCAGCCTTGCTTTACGAATTGATGCTAGTCAGGATGTAATTCGTGTTGGTGACACTGTTGACGTCCAATGCTCAGCCTCAGGAGATCCCTCAGTCACGTTCTTGTGGACCAAAGTTGGAGAAAGAATTGAAAACAATGTTCAGGTTTCTGGAAACTTGTTGAGGTAAGACTTCCTTATATTAGCCTGCTTATGTAAGTGAAAGAAATCCTGTAAGGAACCCACAAGAAGGCTTCATAATTTTCAAGAATAATATAGAACAAGATGATGAACCTGTTTGTAAAATTTGTTATTGTGGACTTCCAGGACTTCAAAATTATCAGATAAATTTATAGATTCTTTCTGTCACCATGTTTGTAATGTTCAACACACATAATTGTAGGGTCTTATGTTCGGCAATATGTCGGACAGAAAAGTAACCATAGATGTATGAATTATGTCTTTATATTTTACAAAATATCTCGCTAACACCATGTGGGAGGATCTTTCTTGAGAAGTGCATAGTTGCTCAGCTGGACAAAATATTCTTAGCAGTCAAAGAGTCATTACCATTACCACATGACCTTATCTTGAGCCTTTCAGTCCAGTCCACTGTTTCTTTAAGATCTATTTAATAGTATCCTTCCATCTATACCTAGGTCTCCTGTATGTACTTATTTCAACACGCGTTCCATTCATCTCATCCTCCTCGCTGTAATTACCCTATTATAAGTATTATAGAAAGATACTGAACGAAGATTGCTGTCTTCTGGGTTGTTGCACTGTGTAGACTTGTAAGTATACCGACGTTCCAGAAGTCCTTGCTGCCTCCATCATCAGGGCAATCACCCGGATCACGCAACAACCCAGTTGACTACAGTCTTCAGACTCACCGCCATGAAAATCTCAAATCCTACAAGATACCAAACATTTTTAATGTTTACTGTGCGTCATTGGGGATTTAAATCTGTATGACGGGGCTGCCAGTTGGAATTTGACTCGTAGGTTGATGGTTTAGCAGTGTGCCTGTGTGACGCAGTCAGCCGAATCGTGCATAAGCCACAGCGTACTGGTAATTAAGGTTAACTGAAAGACGGTAATCCGACAGGTTTTGGAGTACCTTATATTTTATTTAGGTTTGAGAAGTTGAATGGAAAAATTACATTTCTTTAAATCTAATTTACAGTTTATGTTTATGATTGTTGTTATAGAATTACTGATGTGAGGCCAAGCAACGGTGGTGTGTATCGATGTACGGCTCGAACAAGCACTGGCTCGTATGATGAAGACTATGTGCTTGGAATACAAGGTAAGATGAGCAAACTTTGAGACCATACATTAAACTTATTTATTTCTGGTTTATTTAACAAGACTATCTGTTACTCAAACTATATAGCATGATTTATGAATGATGAAGTGGAAATGAAATGGAAGGAAGCAGTCATAGCTTCATTTAAGGTACTATCCTGGCACATTTCTGGAAGGACTAAGGAAAACAAAAACCTCATGATAGCTGGTGTATGGGTTGAAATTGGTACCTGTGATCTGGGTAGCAGGAGTGCCAAGTGCTTTGATTGGTTACATATTGTAAACTCACATTTATCTATTATTGCTCCTTTCTCCTCAGTTTCTTCTACCACACATAGCTTGCACATTTTGTGTGAAATATTGAAATTATGTTTGAAAATGTAATTAATATCAGTGTTATACAAATTGGATATTTTAGCTCACAATGAAAAATAGCAGATTTGGAAATGCTTGTAGTACTAATTGATGTCCTTACTCTTAAAATGTTATTAGTTTTAGTTTCTCAGAAAAGTCTCATAAGAAATGTATGTCAGTGACTTGATATATATGCTGTCTTAGGATATGTAGGTTTTATTTGCACCATTTCCCCTTAGTTGGTAAATATTCAGCAAAAGACAAAATAAATCTTTGTATGTTATTGTGTAAAGTGGGACAAGCCCTAAGATATGTCATTCTGTCTGTTGTTAAACAGTTGCAGTTTGTTTAAATTGTTGTTTTGCAAAGACTGTACTGCGGATAAACCTCTCTCCTCTTGAATTCCTGTTCGAATTACTAACGTGCACAGCTAGAACTGATTCTTAATAAAGTGTTAACTAAAACACACCTTCATTTCTGTAACTGCTATCATATTCTGGTGTCATCCGTGGTAAGTATGCATAAATTTTGTTTGTTTATGATGAAGTGGATACATTATAATTGTTAAGTGTCAGAATCTTGATTGATGTGAATTTGTTGATATACACGTGCTTGTGTTTAGCTGCATTTTGCTGTAAAGTAATATTACATGTACATTTGTTTATTACTGGTACAGACTGTTTGAATGTGATTAAAATTATTTGTATAGGAATATATTTTAGGTTGTTTTACTTGTCTGTTAGCATGTTTCTGTATTCATTGTCAAGTGTTTAAATAACCACGTGGTACTTTCTGTTTTAACCATTTGGCATAGTTATTGAAGATCTTTTTCTAAAAAATTTGAAGACATGTTTAAGTATTTATTTTAGTGCAATAGCTAAAGATAATCTTTTCAATAAGTTTTTCTCCTCTGAGAAAGTAAAAATTCTGTGAACACTGAAATACAAGGCCCGAGCATATTTAAATGTTAAGGCTATTCTGTCTGGTCATATGATGTCTGAGATGTTTTGAAAAGAAGTGTCCTATTATTGCTGTTGTTAAATGCAGATGCAAGGACATTCTGACTTATTCGAGCAGAGTCGTAGTTGAGAAGCTCACAGGTGCTTGGCTAGTTATGAAATTCTCTGTTTTTTGTGGAATTTAGGGGTACATTATCATGTTCACAAGATCCCACCATTAGTCATTGTCCTGGGCTCCATGAATCTGGTTCATACTCTCCCACCATTTTTTTCTAATACCTTCAAGTCTTTCAGCCATTTCATCCTCTCCAGTGATCAAATCAGTGGTCTTGTACTCCATGATTTGATTGTCCTAACAGTACCTGGTGAAGAGTTTCATTAAGAATTTATTTAAATTCTATGCCAAGCAATTTTATATCGTAAGGAACTTCTCTAACTTTTTTTGTCACTTATAAATATCAGAAGAATGATTTTATCTTGACATATTCTTAGTATATCATTCTGTCTTCTAGAGAAAGACAATGTTGATTTGTTTATGTTGAGTGATAAAGTGTTGTGTTACTTTGATTTTATTAGAGAACACACATATTTAAAGCTGCTAAGTTACAATTTTGATGGAAGGAGAAAGTGTGGGATAAACACAGTATTGAATGTGGTTACGAAGTTTCTATACCTTTTTGCATAATTTTTTAAGCCGTGATAAAGTTTTTACTTTTATCTTTTAATGATTTAGATCTGCAGTATCGATGTTTCCATTTTCGTTCTCACATTTGTCTCTTCCCCGTGTTAAAAATATTTCTCGTTTTTCTAGATTCTGTGGACATCCACCATGATGCGGCTGCAGTGGAGACTCGGACAGCCCCTTATGGCTCAACCGTTGTTATGGATTGCCGTACAGATTTGGAGCCACCTGTGAGCTTCAATTGGTCAAAACAAGGTGGAGTTCTTCCCAGAGACTCCAGCACTCGAGATGTAAGTTAGTAACTAATTAGTGCGCTAGTTGAATATTACTTTTGAATCACATTTGTAGAGACAACTGATATTTCACAAGGAAACATGTTTTCACAGTTAATAGTAACATTACCACTTGTGTGTGTGTAGCACACCTCTTAATAGGGAGTGCAGATAGTAGAAACATTCTAGAATAAGCTGTAGATTCTTGAATGTAGACTTCCTTCTCCTTGACTAGAGAGAGGCATTTACAGGTTGCCAGCCAGCTACAAATTTCTTCAAAAGCCAAATTGCAAGTATAGTCAGTGCAAATGTACATGTACAATCAGTTAACTGACAATGCCAAAGTTCTTTTTCATTGTAATTGTACTCATTCTGTTACAATTACACAGTGCGGCAACTGGAAAACGGGACTAATGCTGGAAACAAATAATGGTTCCTTGTATGTAGTTTAGTTAGTGCATCTTTTTTATGACCAAACTGTTAAATGCCTGATATTTTTGTTTTGTAAATTATTTCGTTTTTTTGCTTTTATTACATTTTCTATCATCATATTTTAAATCGAATATTTTTCAGGATTCAGAATCATTGATTCAAGTTTGTTGTGAAGTACAGAATTAAATGTAGGAACTCCTTAATTGTGGAAATAAATACTGTGAATAATTAAATAATTATGGTGTCTATAAAATAAAATAATCACACAAATTTTACATGTGGAATAAGTAAAAAGTAGCATCTTAGAAAGAATAAAACTAGTTGGTGAAACAGTGGCAACATAATTAAGGCCTTGTCTGCTAAACCAGTGTTTAATTATCTTTACTATTTGGAGACTGCCATCAAAGTATATAAAAAGATTGCTGATTTCTGTCATATAAGAGTATGAGAACCAGATCCTAATGTAAGTTATGAGCTACGTGTGATGTGTTGCATTTCAATACTCTGTTGAGACTACTTTCTGTTCCAGGCAATGCTGTCAATTCCAGATGTACAAGCTCAGGATGCAGGGACCTACATATGTACAGCTAGAAATAAAAATGTAAAAATGGACATTCCAACTGTGCTGGTAGTGACTGGTGTAGTGCCATACTTTGCCCAGGCACCAACCTCTTTTATGGCACTGCCAACATTGCCAGATGCTTATCTGCAGTTCAACATTGAAGTGTCCTTCAAGCCTGAGAGCACAGATGGTAAATACAGATAATTACCTTTCATGACAGTTCAACTCTTTCGAAGTGTTTTAAATAGTTCTGTAATTTATAAAGGGAACAGAGTATCGCATTTTGTCTTAGTAGTTTTGTAACTCCAGTACTTAATGACAGTTGTTTTATTTTTAAAGTTTACAGTTATTATAAATGTTTGTATTATATTATTTATTTGTTGTATAAATTATTTCCCATATAAATATGCCCTATACATGGTTTCCTTGAACAGTTAATTGTTATTTAGCTTTTGAGGGTTCCCTATTGTTAATGAACATAAATTCTTACTACCGTTATTTCTTGATAGTTAGTTACATTTAATTATAGTTTGGTGTTCTGCTTTGTGCACATATGCATGCAAGTCGGCCACAAAGGTTTCTGTGACACCATCGATGCTTATCCAGCTACAAGTGTATATAAGTGCAATAACTGTAGAACCTATAAATCTATCTCTCTCTCTCTTCCCCCCACCCCATCTCTTTCCTTATTTAATTCTATTCATTCTTGTCTTCATCTGTATTGTAATCAGCAAATAACTTTGAATGTGGGTGTTATCTCAATTCTGGGACATTTATTGCAGATTTATAATTGAGAATGATATGGACTATGGAATCAACTTCATGACTTGAACAGCTGTCCGGAACTTAAACCTGAAATACGTTTTCTGCAAAGTGTTGCAAAAAATTCTACAGGGACCATGTCATGAGTTGCCCATAAGTCACTCACATTCCAAGTGGTTTGCCCATAGTTATATCTCCAAATTTATTTAATTTTTGTGAGGTTTTCCACCCCAAATGTTCCCCCATCCATGCTACATTTTCTGCCCATCTAGGAGAAGGGTGTTAACAGTGAAGGTTGCCATTATTATTTTTTTTATCCTGCTGTTAAGTAAATGTCTCTTGTTTGAAAACATTCTCCTCAGCACTTTTGAACTCTTGTGTAAAAAGTCAAGAAACTATTTGCAAATACTGGGTGTCCAATTTGAAGGCTGTTATTATTTATAACACACAAAAAAAAACTTTTGTATGAACTTCTGTGATGTAATGTGAAAGAACTTGAATATGTGCTATCTTTTTGTGTTACATAACTTTTTATGCGAGTTCAAAATAAATAATTACCTATCCATAAGATCATCCACTAAATTATGAACATTTGGTATTTTACTGCAAGCTTGACACTGTCACATGCAGAATGATGTGTACTTGTGGGGAAATGCTGAATAATTATTCATGACATTCTATTATGATCCTTTTGCTGTTCCAGGCTTGATCCTTTACAATGGGCAGCAGAAAGGAGGCGGTGGTGACTTTGTGTCACTTGGTCTAAACAACAGCCATGTGGAGTTCAGATTTGACGTTGGCTCTGGTCCAGCCATCATCAAGTCTGATCGCCCAATTAGCCTTGGAGAATGGCACACTGTTAAACTGAGTAGGACCAGGAAACAAGGTTAGAATGAACAAAAGAAGCCCTTCGTTTATTTTATTTCATAGCTTTTGTGAACTTTTTGGCAGGTATATAGTGTTCCCCTTTTATCACCAAGAAACTTTAACTGTACTTTATGAAGCAGTTTAATAATTACAGGCATACCTCGGAGATATTGCGGGTTCGCTTCCAGACCACCACAATAAAGCGAGTCACACAAATTTTTTTGGTATCCCAGTGCATATAAAAGCTATGTTTACACTATACTGTAGTCTATTAAGTGTGCAATAACATTATGTCTAAAAAAAAACAATGGGAAAACATTGCGAGAATTACCAAAATGTGACACAGAGACATGAAGTGAGCACATGCTGTTGGAAAAATGGAGCCGATAGATTTGCTCGATGCAGGGTTGCCACAAACCTTCAATTTGTTTTTTAAAAAAAAAAGCTGCAATTATCTGCGAAGCACAATAAAGCGAGGTATGCCTATACTAGACTAGTGCCAAAAGTTTATTCTCTAATAAGTGTCTAAAATACAGTGCATCATTTTGTTATATGTCGTGCCTATATTCACTGTAGAACCTAAACGAACTTGTATAAATCAGGAATAATTTATTTATCATTACTTTGATTTTACCTTTTGTTTTATAAGGGTGTGACATTTGTCTCGCATTAAAGGAAGAACAGAGATTAAGGGTGTTTGAGAATATGGTGCATAAGAGAATGTTTGTATCAAAAATGTATGAAGTGACAGGAGAAAATTATATAATGAGGGGCTTTGTAGTTTGTATGCGTCGTCATATATTATTAGCGTGAACAAATTAATGAGGATGACATATGCAGGTCATATAGTGCGCATTAGGAAGATATAAATGTGTACAGAAGTTTGATTTGGATAGCCTAAAGGTATGAGGTCATTTTAAAGCCTAGGCATTTATATGAGAATAATATTAAAATGGATAAAAAGTAATATGGTGAAGTATGATTGAAGGCTGTGGATTGGATTAATCTACCCTAAAGTAGGGACTGTTTCAGGCTTTTGTGAACACAGTGATGCATAAATGCAGGGAATTTATTACCTGAGCATAGTATTAGCTTCTTTGGAAGGACTGTACTTCATGGAATTAGTTATTAATATGCCAGAATTGTCAAATGAAAACTCTCCTTCTGTGCCTTTGTATGTATGTGTGTGACTTGTTTCCAGGCACAATGTATGTGGATGGCGAGGGTCCATATAGTGGAACAGCCCTTGGAAGGTTCCAAGGGCTTGATTTGGTTGAACCGCTGTATGTAGGAGGAGTACCTGATTTCAGAAACATTCACAGACTCAACGGATTTACCCGAGGTTTTGTTGGTAAGTAGTATTTTCTCAAAAAGAACACACAGTTTCAAAGGATTTCTTCTCTGTAATACTGTTATTCCTTATATGCTTATTCACACTGTCAAAACCATCAAGACTATGAAATTTTAAGTTCTCTAATATTCACCACGTTGCCCTCTATGGACTAGTGGTTAGCGTGCTTACCACTAGACCCAAGGTTCGCGAGTTCAAACCCGGCTGAGGTCGATGGATTTTTAAGGGTGATAAAAATCTGTAGCACAACTTCCTTCGGAGGGGAAGTAAAGCCGGCAGTCAGTCCCATGTAGTAGATTTATGGCATGTAAGAGAACCTTACGAGCATGAATGAGATGTTTCGTAAGCAAAATACAGCGGTCATTTCTCACCCAAGTCTCTCCTAATTCACTGCTAGATGGCTCTAGCAGTCAAATCAGGATTGAGTAGAAATTGTACAGAGTCTGCGTGCTGGTCACTCACTACTCACAAATGCACAATTCAAAGACTAGGTAACCTCCGAAATGGAGGCGGCGAAAACCCACACCTGGGTTCTAGGGCCAAGAAACAACAACAACTACATTCACCACACATTTATAATTTGGTGCCTTACAAATTGATTTGGTGAAGGAAAGAATATGAAATCACAAATTCTCTGGTTATGAAATGGAAGGACCTGTGGAAGAATAGCTTAAGGCATAACTATATATGTTTTATTCTGATGGAATCACGAAACATTTGGACAGTTCGACCAAGTTCATTGAAAAGCAGGTTGATTGTGTATAAAAATAAGATATGTCTATCTGCTGTGTCATTTTTCGGTTCAAACTCGACTCGACTTTAAGAAAACTCTGTTCGCACATCACTAGTCTGAATTCATATAAGAGATACTAATGTATGCATTACTGCTCGCAGGTTGCATAAGTCGCCTTCTTATCGGATCAGTCCATCATGAATTGGTGCGTGATGCCACACTGAGTCATGGTGTCACAACTTGTGAGACTTGTGCAGTGAACCCATGCTTGAATCAAGGGGTCTGCCAGGAAGCCACAGAATTACAGGGCTACTCGTGTATCTGTCCTCCAGGCTTCAGTGGGCTCAACTGTGACCGGGTTGGTGAGGCTTGCTTTCCAGGTGAGTTCTTGGTGTATGCTTTCGAGGTCTGCCTTCACTTGTCTGAAGCAATCAAAATATACCTAAAAGAGAATGAATTTATATTGAATTTTGACAGTAAATATTTACAGTCTGTATATCTAAGTGTGAATTTGTTGCAATGTAGGCCTTTTGATCATAACTACAATTTGTTCAGTTTTTGAAGGAATTATATGTCATTTTCTGTATGGGATTTAGTCTGTGATGTGGTTCTTCTAACTCAGTAGTCATTGCACTATGCAATATACAAAGTTTATTTTGTGTGTGATAGTGGTATTCATTGATGTAAGGATTAAAATCTGTATTTTTTTTTACGTCAAAATGCGTTTTCCTCTAGTGTGAGAAGTTTGGCTACAGAAGTGAGGCCATTTTAAATAGTCCCCTTGTCTTGACAAAATGATACATCCTCAAGTTGCAGATGCTAGAGATGGGCCCCAGATGTAAATGGTTTTGTAGCATCTTGCAGAATGTTACACAGGACCTTAGACTTGGATGGTTCTTTTCTGAGATGGAGAGGGCATGTACTGTGCAGGAGAGATGAATGTGTTTATTGGATTCACGAGGCTTGTGATAGGGACTGATGTGGGCTTTTGTGAAATTGTAATGAACTTTAAGGTTTAATAGCATGAGTGGAGTTTTCATGTTAACTTGGCTAACACATTTAAATATGAAAAGTAATGTCTTGGTCCTACTTATTTGGTTCATTGATAACCATACACAGGAACAAGAATAAGTCATAAGCAGTGTTCAGATATTGTCCTAGAATTTTCCATAGTCAATGTTATGGCCAAGACGAATCTGGGACCTCCCAGAAATACAACATTTGGTTTATTATTATTATTGCCCAAAGTATAAATATGTACATTGTGACAAATTCAGGTATAACAGTTTTAGTGAGTATGATAAATATAGATAACACAGTTTCTTATCAGGTAAATGTTACATTGTTTTATGTATTAAAGTGATCTGTACCTAATAACCTGCAATCCAATGGTGTTAACAGGAGCGTGTGGGGTTGGGCGTTGTATCAACAGAGATGAAGGTTTTGAGTGTCTGTGTCCGTTTGGCAAGCATGGAGCACACTGTGAAAATGACATTGATATCTCAGAACCAGCCTTTGCAGATGGTGCTTACGTATCCTACCCTACACCTAAAGCTGTTCGCAGGTAAGATCATAAACAGATCTGTCATTTCAAAAAATGACTTGTTTTTCATGGTCAGATTCTGTACTTTCTTTCTGTCTAGGTTAAAAATGGCTCTTAAGTTCAATCCTGTAGATGCTCAAGATGGACTGCTGATGTACTGTGCACAGAGTGAAGACGGTCAAGGTGACTTCACATCCCTAGCAATTCGGGACAAGAGATTGGAGTTCAGGTTTGACACTGGCTCAGGTAAGTTGATATCAAATGTTATTTTTCTACTAGCATAATATGACCCATCAGAGTTGATGAAAAATTAACTTTTTTGTGAGGATTTCTGTCTTCTGGGTTGTTGTGTCATGTTTACCAACATGACATTCATCACCCTGATGACGGAGGCAGTATGACCTTCGAAACGTTGGTAAACTTCTACCATACTACACGGCGTAACAACCCAGAAGACAGAAATCTTCATACTCACTGCTGTGAAAACCTCAAACCATACATAACTTTTTTATGTTTGACAGGAATCAATCAAAAGTGCAAAATTTGTTTTTAAGTTAATTAAATGTGAAAACACTTTCATGGCAACTGAAGATTCCTGTCATATTCATCAACCGTGACTGCCCGACTCCATGCCCCCGCCAAACACAGACTCAATTAAACCGCATCATAGGTGCCACCATAGTTTTGTTTGCATTCATTTCTAACAGAGTTTCCTTCATCAGAACTTGATTTCAGTATTTTCTACATCACAAATGGTGCACTTGTACAGTCAAGCATGATGGATATTGGTGCTTATGTTGAGGATAGATTGCATGGTACATTTATGAGTGCAGAAGGGGAATAGAGCTGCTACATTGCAAGCACCTGCGTATTTTAGATGTTAAACCTTTTACAGGTTCTGTTGTATCTGTCTTGCGATAATTTATGCCTGAAATATATCTTTTCATCTTCATCACTAGAACAAGCTCTCAGCTACTGATAATTTAGCCTGTATGATAAGTTGATGAAAGTTTGTCTTAAGGCATATATGGTACTTATAAATTTTTCCCAACAGGCCCAGCTGTGATTCGTAGTGAGCGTGATATAACACCTGGAGAATGGACATCAGTTTCTGTGGGCCGTAGTTTCCGAGAAGGTCAAATTACAGTTAATGATGATTCACCAATAGTTGGCCAATCCCCTGGTCATACACGTGGCCTTAACCTCAAGACGCCATTGTATGTTGGAGGTTATGATGAGCAACGCATACGCCTTGCTGATGGTGTTGGAGTGAAGAAAGGTTTCAGTGGTTGTGTAAGAGAGGTATAATGTGTGGAAATAACTTTATTGTTGGCTAAAGTTGACAGCTTGATCAGATATTAAATGAATCAATTTGAAAGCAAGCTTTGTGTTTACAGAACTCTTATGTTCTTAACATACGTGAAGTAACCTTCCACCTTGTGGAATTGTTCCATCTGTAACAGTAAGAGTGTTACAGGCCCATTAATGAACTACATACATAGTGGAAGGTACTCGTTGAAAATGGATTTCATTATTCAGCTGGTCATTTATATAGTTTTATAGATATTACTCTCATTCCCAAATGTAAAGCTTTCGAGTAAGAAGATTTTTCCGTTTGAAATTTGTTTTTTGAATTCCCACACTTATTACCATGGTATATGACTTTGGAAAATTTCATGCATTTGTCAAGAAATCTGTCTCTAGGAAATCTTCATAAGATTTAACAACTTTTTTTTTAATCTTTCCTCATTTTCAAAGGATTGTTTCGTTATTCTTAATGAATAATTTTATTTTTAATTTTGGTATGGAGACACAACTAAATGAAAATCAGACTGTGTACCATTGTTATAGATACATAGATAGATAGATGTTTTGAAATTATCATCTCAGCTTTTCTGTTGCTGATAATTCTTCTGTTAATTATTTAGACACTTTCCCTTTCATCTTCATTCTGTAGCCTTCTGAGAAAAATGTACTGTTTTCTTAGCCGACTGTCCATTCACCCAGTATTCCATTTAAGTTGTCTAGTAATTTAACTTACTTTTCTCTACCTTTGGGTAATAGAGGACAAATTTAACATCGCTGTCCAGTTTTGACTGCAGTAGCATTTAAAATTTGTTCCATCAAATGCCTTTACAGTCCAAACTGGACTTCGATCATTTATCGTATTTGGGCCCCTTCCTGGTATTTCACATAAGGAAATGGAAATTATACACGACCCTGCATTTTTATCAGCATCTTCATGGAGTCCTGATTGTATTTATTAATGTAATTTCTTTAACACTTGCACATAGTTTCAAGATGATATTTGCCCAAAGATTTGAATCGAAATCATTTTCATTTTAGTACTGTTTATTTTCCAGATTCAACTGTCAGGTGAGAAACTGGACATTATCAGTTCAGTTGTGGATGCGGCCAATGTCCAAGACTGTAGCAGTTTGTATAGTAGAAATCATTATGTAACTAGTTCGCCTTGTGATCGTAACCCCTGTCTCAATGGTGGCACTTGCCGACTGACAGACTCGAGTGGACACTACAATTGCACGTGTCAGGAAGGATTCAGGTGAGAATTTGTTGGTGAATGGGTCATTCCATGTCTGTTCAACACACAGAGGTGCAATTTTGAATTTTTTTGAACTTGTAGACTCTGTAGATATCATTAAAAAGTTTTAGCTGTCCCTTCTGTTTCATTTGTAACGGGTATTCCAAATTTGTAAATTAGCATTAATTGGCTTGACGCAGCTTGTAAGAATTGCTCTAACTCTGGCACTAATTGGACTAGGGAGTTAATTGTGGGCTCATTATGAAGGTAATGACATTCTAGTTGCAGTGAGGTGTCACACCCTGAAATTTAATACAGATCATCGTCATGATCACCATAGTTGATCTTTGACCTTGAATTCCTAAAAATACAAGTTTATAGTTTAAAGAAAGTCATGCTTCACTTCATGTTCCAGCAATGATCCAAATTTAAGGCTGGCACCACCTGAGGAGTTGTAAATTATAATATGCAGTAAGCTAACATCACTGGGCAGCTCCTAGGCTCAGTTGCATCTTGATAAAAATCTGTATGTTTTAACTGTCATGTATATGCAATTTGTATTACTTCAGCCTTTATTCAAGGAACATGTCACGTTTCTTTTAAACAAATACTACACTTTTAATAAGTAATTTCAAGTTTATACCTGGACCTACTTTTGATCATTGTATTTAATTTATGAAATTAATGTGGATTCACATCTGAAATTTTCCGTATGTTGTAATACTTTTAAAGAAGGGGGCTGTAGTCTGTAAAGGAAAAATTTGAGGAATGTCCTACCATGAATGAACCAATGAATTCTATTAGCAGAGATGTAGTAATTAATTTGTTTTAGACATGTAAGAGACTATAGATCTGTTTGCTGTGTTGCAGTGGACAGCACTGTGAGATGGAGACGGATCTCTGTGCTGCTCTTCATCCGTGTCACAATGGCGGTCAGTGTGTGGGAACCCCTAATTCTTATAAATGCAGGTGTCCAACTGGCTATGGGGGCACCAACTGTGAACAGGGTAAGTTTAACAGGATCGGATAAGTCTCTTATTTTGGTTGTAAGGCAGGGGTCAGTAACCTGCCACCCATGAGCCACCTGCAAAACACACGACCTTCTTTTGTGGCTCTGAACATGATTTAAGGATTATCCAATGATAGAAGGACAAATTTTTCTGCTACTGAGGAACATTGACATAAATGTACAGAGTGGTACATGAAATGTTACCCGAATGAAAGTTTAAATAAAAGCTTTAATATTTATGTAAAGGTACATACATAGGCTAGGAGCGAGTTACTTGTGCGACAGTATAATACTGACTTCACCGAGGAGTTTATCAGACTGAACGCCAAACAAAAGAAATACACTGACCGTGCCATCTCAGGTACACAGAGTAGGCCCATCTGCCAGCTCCACTAGCTTTTCCACCGGCCAAAAACTACTGCGCCGATTATACTGTAAATTTGTGTGTTTATATTTCATTACCAACAGCTGCAGAATTTTCATCAGAAGTCAGTTTCCAAGGTGATGGCTACATTGAGCTGAGCAACTCTTTATTACCGCACAAGACAGCCACAGAGAATGAAGTGATTACCATTGAATTCTCAACCACTGAGCCTAATGGTCTTATCTTCTGGCATGGGCAGACATCAGATACTGACGGAAGGACACAAGATTATGTTGCTCTAGCTGGTGAGTAAACTCATCTGCAGATGACTTACAAATGGAGGAAATTATCTGGATAATGTTATATTGATATTTAAATATCAGTAGGTAAGAGGTGAACTAGTATCGTAATAAATTACAGAATTAGGGACTTCATGATTTAGTGGCCAGTTGAATTTGACGGTGCAGAATTTTTTTTATTAAACATGTTCTGGATTAAAAAATTCTTTGAGAAATGTGGAACTAATTGAGACATGTGAGATAAATAACATTCAGAAATTCTGAATATGACCAACATTCATTACTTGTGACTGTAGTTGTGAATGGCCTACTGGAGTTCAGCTACGAACTGGGGTCAGGTCCAGCTCAGATTCAGACCCAGGCAGACGCGAGAGTGGATGATGGTAAGCGCCACCATGTGGTACTGAAGAGACAGGGTAGCGATGGGAGTATTGAGCTGGACAGTATCACAGAGTTTGGGGAGAGTCAAGGCGTTCTCAAGATGCTCAACACTCGTGGAAATATTTATATTGGTAAGTGTGGGCATTCACATCTTGTGTTTGGTCAAACTGCCTGATCTGGGCTACTACACAGCTGGTACATCAAGACATCAGAAATTCTGTGTAATTTGGCCTGACTTCATGAAATCACAAACCCATCATAAAAATCATGCTTTGACAGTAAATTTATAATACTGCTTTCTTTCATTTTAAAAATTAAAGTACAGTAATTGCTGAACACATATCTTGCATAATCCTTTAAAAAAAAAATTAATGCCTCAGATCCGATTCCAAGTATTTTCACATTTGATGTTTGGCTATTGCAGGTGGATTACCTGACTTCGATCACATGACTGGCGGAAAATACTTACGTGGTTTTGTGGGCTGTATCCACTCTTTACTTATCCAAGATACAAGTGGTTCAGGATTGAACTTCAGAGAGAATGCTCTCTACAGTGTAAACGCTTTACCTTGCACCAAGTAAGTGTTGTTATGCACTGCTGTTTGTTGAAATATTGTGCCTAGAACTGCCATTCAAAGGTAAATTTAAAAACAGTACTCTTGACCTTGTCACATTTTTTGGAGGCTTAAATACACGTTCTATTTGTATTAGTCAACAGGTCAAGAAATATTTGGATTAAATTTATAGAATTTGTTGAGGTTAATATTTTGTATTAAGTACTACATTTTATAAATTAGCTTGGGTAACTCAGTCAGTGTCTGACTACAGACTGGGTGACTGGGGTTTGATTCTCAGCATGGGCAAAGAATTTTTCTTTTAGGCCTTGTTTCCAGACTGGGTCTAGGGCTTACCTAGCCAATGGATACTGGAGCCCTTTTTCAAGGGGTAAAGCGTGGCTGAAACATGACACTGACCAGTCACCCCCATCTAATTTTGAAGTCAGGAATGAGTAGATGTTATCGTTCTCTCTCCAAAATTCTCATGTGGTGTGTAGTAGGACAACTTTACTTTTACTATGTTTTATATGTTGGCCGTTAATGGGAACTCAATAAGACGCCCTTTTCATGCCACTGCTAAGATATGAAAGCATAAGAAAGCAAGAAAACAAAAGAAACATTATGATATGGTCAAGTGCTTGTTGTTCTAGGGGAGGGGCCATGGTTGGAAGTGGATTTTTTTTTATCTACTATTTTAAATCTGTAACGGCTATGTTAAGATATGGTCCTAGAATATAGACAACTACATTTTGTTTAAGTGTCCATCACAAAACATCACTAGTATTGTCCCATGATTAGAAGGTTAAAAATATGCAGTGGGAAAAAAACAAAACAGATTTGTTAAACTCACCATTAACTTTGAATTAACAAGGTTTTACCATAGTGATTTCAGTGAAATGCGAGTTTCATGTTTTTCCAGGGGATAGCAGATTTGAATAGTGAATGGAATAATATGAAGGGAATATATATGTGCATAGTGTAATAGCAGTGAAATTCCAATTTAATGGATTCGAACACTAAATTTAATAACAGAAGAAATATAACACCAAAATTGTTAGGTAGGGTCTGCAGAATTCATGATCACAAGGTTAGAAGTAAATTTCACTGTGAATTATTTGGTTTCAGTAGCTTTTTACAATTTTTTTATTATTCTTTTGCCTCATTGTGAATACTGTATGATAGAAGAGATATGTGTACTATAGTGCGTTGATGCATAATATAGAAGTTAACTTTGTCATACTGATTTTATGTCCTGTTACATCTTAAAAAAGTTCGAGTTTGAAATCGCATTTATAGGTGATTATCTGTGTAAGTATTCAGGTGATTACATGTAACCAGTAAATAATTTGAATTGAGCGGTAACAATATTGAATACTTTTCAGTAGACTTATGTTTCATGTACTAATGTTATTTTTTGTCTATCTTTTTACGCTGCTTGGAACAACTTTCTTGAAATCCATTCTCTTGCTTCTGCTTATCACTATTGGTGTATATCTTCTTTTTTACCATCATAATCAGAACACGCTGGATTCCATCCTCTTTGGTTTACACCAATGTTGCAAGTGAAACAAACCGCCCATCACCTGTGATACCACCAATTCAGAAAATTTCTTCTAGAGCTCAGACCATAACAGTTTCAATGCAGATACTGATACTTAACCCGTTTTTACTACTCTTCTGGTTTGAACTCGTCGTGATTTCACCATTTCCTTTATTTCGTAGGCTCCAATGAACATGAATGTGCCAGTGAATTGGATACCAATTGTTTGTTTTAATTTTGTTTGTCTAACATTAATGACAAAGAGGTTTGTATAATTGTCTGTAAGACTGTGCGGTATTTATTAAAATCAAAGAGAATCGTGTAAAATGTGAAGCTTTTAACAGAAACATTTTTTTTTTGAACACCGAGTTATGCTCTTGTACATTTGCTTCAGTTACACGTGTCCACAATAGTTTGTTTTATATAATTCGTCTAATTATATACTTTATATTGCCTTTTTGGTGCGTATTTTCCGTACGTGAACATGGATATTGTTCCGGGATCCTTTTCTAATTTTCATTTTTGAATTGTATAAAATTAGGATTTAGGTAGATGCATGGGCGTGTAAAATGTATTTATGCAAGCAAATTCCTACTTGAAGTTAATGCAGAATTGTGTATATATGTATTGTGAGACAGTAAATATATGAAATATTTAGTGTTTTTGATAAAGAATATGCTAAAGTAACAAACTTTCACGAAATATATTTTGTACAATGAAATGGTTATATATAAATTTTAGAATGAAAATGAAATGGTGTTTCCTAGACATGTTCAGATATATTAGAAATTGTGCCAAACCCCCAAACTGTCTTTGTAATTCTCCTCTATACAGATCTGTGGTCTGCAATTTCTGATATGATTTTTTCTACGTCAAATGCTCATATTTATCAGTTTACAATAGGCAAAATGTAAAAACAATATTTTGTCTCCATATTGATGTTTCAAGAAGTATACAAATACCAGCCTCTTAGAAGAATGACTGAGCTTCTTAGTAGTCTTATTATTTTCAGGGCAAATCTGGATGTATTATCCAAATTATTTTAATGTTGACATGCATGTTCTTGTTGCTGACTGCTTCTGTAACTGGACTGGGCATGTTATTTATTGTCTACAACCCTGCATTGAAAACTTTGCTTCTAATAACAGTTACATGTGGAATGTACATCACAAAATATGAGTAAGGCAACGGTGATATTTTGGGTTTTTGCGGAAGTGATAGTTAAGATTGCGATTTTCTGGGTTGTGACAATGTTTTGGAGGATCCTACATGATAATTCAGTGTCTCAGTCCGGGAGGTAACTATCTAAGGGCAGCAGTAATTATAATAAATGCAGTGTGTTAGATATATATGTGTATTTGTTTATGCATATGTATTTCTATTTCAGTGACCCTGATTTTGCTGACAACAACATTTTGGAAGGTTTAGAGGGCCGTGTGCATAAATAAGCAATCAAAACAAGAAGCTACTCAAAACAAATAATGTAAAAAAATAATGTGTTCATATGTGGAATTTCCACAGTATAGACCAAGTTCCCTGTAAAATATGAAACCACAGAATGGCGGAAGGAACAGAACAATTTCTGTCTTGTCATCTAATAGATGGAAATTTCTTCTCCACAGTCTGAACTTACATTGATGGTGTCCATACTAGTTATATGGCGTTACTGTTTACCACTTTATGTTTCTATATATGTTGGTGTGTATCTTTTTCAACCAAGTATTTTTTGTATGTGACTTATATTTTATTTTTTACGTTAGATACCTAGTAATGTGCTTAAAAATTAATATTATCACCACCTTCATGTCATCATAGACAGGACGTTGAGACTGAAACTTGTCAAGACCTGGCATCATGCACCAGGTTTTTGTGTTATTAAGGCAGTCTCTAGCAGTTACAAGTCCTATACACGTTTTCATTGTTATGCATTTAACTTTCTTCTGTTAAACAGATCTGAAAATGTATACCTCACAGACAGAGGAAAGGAAAAGCGATCTTTGCTCATGGTGCAACACTCCCAGTTACATGTAAAGGCTCCTATACACAGTAAAAGGACAAAATCTTTAGGCAGTAAGTATGAAGCAGTAGATGCGATGACTGAAATGTGTGTTGCTCCTTTGTTTAAATAGTGCTTGATTATCGGTGCCTTTGGGACAAATAGTTCGACTGCCGGAGCCCCGAATGCGATTCCTCCTATCATTACATTTGTATGTTAGAAATAACATATGAAATGTGAATTTACTGCCAATGTGTTCTGGTCTCCAATTTGATATGTATATTTTTTATTTTGGTTGAAGAGGTACACACACAGGTGCTATAAAATATAGTTAGTTGTGTGCCATAACTGTTTCCTTGTAATGATTTTGTGCTGCCATGTTTTTATCATGTATTCTCTTTCTTTCTGCCAGAGGTGTTTGACTCAAGTCTGTAGCGTGGATTGTACACTAAACTAAAGGGTTGTATGTAAGAATAAATTTTTTTATAATTCTGTGCAATTTTTTTTATTTTAAAAGTAATGAATGCAGTGGTTGGTCTTTAGTGTTAATTTCTAGCTACTCATTTCTCTTTATTTTCTCAGTACTCCAACTGAGGTGTGCACAAACACGCATTCATTCCGTTAAGTCACTTGTAGGTCCCAGAACATTAATCATGGAGCCTACATAAAAAGTGAAGTGTAATGTTAAAGTACTGCCTGCAGCCAAACTTTATTTAGAGCTTTCAAATAGAAGCTGAGAAATGAGTATGAAGGACATTACTACCACCTCGGCTCATCTCTTATTCTACGCATTGAAACTGTATATAATTCATATAATCTAGGCCTTAGACTTTCATAACTAATACATATGAGAACTAGAGCATACAAAGATGAGGTGATATAAAATGTCTGCATATCATATGAGTGTGGTATGAATCGCCAAGCCAAGCATTGTAATCATTTGTTTTTGTATGCTATGATTCAGAATGTTATTATGTAATAAGGTAATGTAATCAGTATGTGTGTTTCCTTCTTTTTAAATATGCTATTTTATGTAAAAATGTTTCCTTTTAGTGGAAATGATGACTAATAATTTAAAAATGTTGAAGACAATAAATTTGATGATGATTTGTCAATACAATTTTGAAAACTATTTTTTTAGATTTCTTGCCACCCTAGATTGTTATGACCAGAGAAGCCTGGAATTTCAAGGACTTTCCCGTAAGTGTACTGACAATTTTTTAGAGAAAGTAATTTGTTAAGCATTTTAAATTGTGATGAAATTTAGTTTGAAAACAATACTTTTGTAGAAAAATGTTTAATGTAAATATTGTGTGTTCAGATTGGAGGCATTCACACAGGTTTATCTTTAACAGCAGTAAACTGCATGATTTATTTTCATTTTCTATTAAATATTGTTTAACTGTAAAATCCCTTCATCTTTAAATCCTGACTGAGGCTTTCCCTGATTCCCTGTTTGTTTTAAACCTGTGACGTCTTGAAGATGGCTGTCTTCTGGGTTGTTGTACCTTGTAGTGTGCTAAGTTTACTGATGTTTATGAGGTGTTTGCTGTCTCTATCATCAGGGTAATAATGGAGGCAGCATGTACCTCTTTAACATTAGTAAACTTGTACTTGACTACATGTGAGATGTTGCACCGTAAGTGCTGTATAACTACATGGAATTTAATTTTGGAATGGGAACAGTCATTTTATAAAAGCTTTTTAATACTGCTGAAATTAATGTGTCTTGGAATAAAAATTGTTGCCAAATAGTTTAAAAAAAGAATCAGAATTGTCTTGACGGTGTTCATAGACACCTATTTTAGTAGTTTTATGGGCAATTTAATAATAATATCATTGCAGTTTGTTTAGTGTAATCTTTCTGTTCTATTATGTTGTGGTCAGGAAAAGAAATAATTTTCAATGATTTCCAGACAGGTTAAGAAGAAAGACAGCAAAGTTATGGTCCTGGTGGTGCAGCAATTAAACTTTCTAGGTTAATGTCAATGTATCATTTATAATGTACATTGTTTCGGACCCTTGTCAAAGTTTCTCTGGTAATTACAATCTGTAACGTTCTAAAAAAGTTGTAAGGGCCTGTGAGTCGGTAATTCATATTCAGTTCGAGCATTCATCAAAAGTGTAATATGGCGCTTAACGTCTTTAAGACGCAAGTGGTAAGTGAAAATACTTAATACAAAAATATGGTAATGTCTGGCATTGAGAGAAGTTCTGCTGTAATATGATTTTTAAATATCGTATTATTTAGATGCATTTAGCGTTCTTCAATCTGATTCTAGTTTTGTTTGGATAATTCCGCGGCTAATTTGATTCTGTAACCATTTGTTTTGAATATACCGTGAAGTAATTTGTATATAACGAAGGCTTATGAGTTTACGTGTGATTTAAAGAAGTAGTGAACAGAAGCAAACATTAAAATATATGAAATAAATATCAATCGTTCATCATATTTTTGTTTGGAAGATGGTGTGTGTTGTTTCGGTAAATATCAGCACAATAATGTTGCTGAGGTCAAACATAACCTAAGAACTGTAAATGTAACAAGAGTTGGACTCTTGATTGATAATTCAGGAATGAAATACAATAGCCAAGAATCCACGTTTCAGTAATTCAAATACATTATTATACAGTATTAAAACCCTTTCATATTATTCGGTGCACAGGTTTACAGTGTGTTCTGACTATCTGTAATAGAGCAGTGTGAATTGTTTGTTTAATGAGCAACATATCTTCTGATATAGAAAGTATTTATTTTATATGAGGCTACTTTATAGAATCTCATGTGGTTACTGTGGGCATGATCAAGATGATGGAAATATTAATAATCTGGCACACTTGAAAAGGCAGTTTTACATAACATGTGTAAAATAACTTTTTTTTGTATGTTACATTGATTTTGATGCAATGTTTTAAAGACAGCTCGTGGCTTTAGCCATCCAGTTCAGGCAGTCCTGTAGGACAGCATCTACACATGTGGGGTGAGTTGCAGCGAATCACACCAGTCAATACATCACGAAGCCGGCCATCATTCTGGGGGGAAGTAACACATGTACAGGAGCTGTGGCAAGACTTCCTTCTTCCACTTGTCTCTACAATGGACAACGTGGCTGACAGACCGTCGCCATGTGTCATGTGCATGAAGGGCACGCAGACCACCACCAACACCACTCCACTACTTCATCATGATCATGTACATGCTACAGACAGACCATTTAGTTGTGATGTGTGTGGGAAGGGTTTTACCCAGGCAGCTCACCTGACTCGACATACACGAGTGCATACAGGTGAGAAGCCATTTTCATGTGTAGTGTGTGGGAAGAGCTTCTCTCAGTCGGGTGATCTAACAAGGCATACAAGGGTCCACACTGGTGAGAAGCCTTACTCATGTACTGTCTGTCTGAAGAGGTTCTCACAGTCAGGGGACTTGAGTCGACATACGCGGCGTGCTCATCCTGGTGAAAACCCATTCTCATGTGCGGTGTGTTTGAAAAGTTTTTCCCAGTCGGGAGGTTTGACTCGTCACACAAGAGTGCATTCTGTGACAAATAGAGTTTTGTCCACGACACATGAAGTTATGTTACAACCAAACAATTTCTCTCGTCAGACCCGTATCAATGTGGACCAGCGACAGTTTTTCCCTGATATCAACAAAGAGTTTTCTCACCTCCCGAACTTACCCTGACATGATGGAACATTTTCCTGTTCAGTGTATGAGAAGCATTTTCCCACTTCAGACTTAACCCACATCCAGAACATACTTGTTGGAAAGTTGCTTTCTTAACAGCTTCCACATCTGTGCAGCTCATAGTAAATTAATCTGGGGCTGTTCTTTGGTACAGGGCCAGTGTTTGTACCATCTTTATATCAATGAGATACCACATAGTTTTTGTAGCAAATTCATTTTTATTTCTTTGATGTGTACACCATGCTACAATGGGCCAGTTTGCAGTCTTCCTCTTAAGTATAAAGTGACTGTCAGGAGACTTAGTATATTTATAATGTTATTCATGAAATATGTAAATCCTGGTTTCCATTTTTTACGCATTTTCAGCCCTACCGGCCAGAATATAAAAATCCTTCACAGTTTAAATCTTCATTTAGCTCCGAGGGTAAGTTTGTGTGGCACACTACCTCTGTTTATTTGTATGACTTCTTGGAATGGTACTTTGTTAAGCACAGGTACAGATTTATATACATTTACCTCAGGCCTGTTATAGGGTAATTTTACTCTAAAGATGGGGGTTTTAATGTCTTTAAATTATCAGCAAACCAGCCTGTCACATCATGGTGTCATTACCCTGAATGTGAAAAATTGCCACAGAGTTACTAAGCTATATAGTGGAATAACATAAATATGCAAATTTTAATTTTTTTTATAAGACAGGCTTTTTGGTCGATGTATTAACTCTTTGAAGCTGTGACTTGTTTAAGTAATAAGTAAACATTTGGTTGCTAGTTTCAAGAAAACAAACCAATTCTGTGTCACAAAGATTCATTTATTAATTCTGTTGAAGGAAGTATTTACAGTTTATTCTGAGAATTATGCAAAATTCATTAATACACTGCATGGGAAAAATTCAAAATTAGTGACTGATGAAGTAGATGGTACACATAGTTACCACTGAGCTCTAAAGCATTGAGTATCTTGTACTCTATGCTTGGCCACATTCAGCCCACTCCCTCACAACCTTTTAATTTTAACATCTATACAGTGTATTGCTTATAATTCTTTATATTTTTTATACATAAGCAAGTGTAATTTTATTATATGGAAGGAAGGCAAAAAATCTGGTCCTTTTTTTTAAAGAACACCAAAATTTGTACAGTGAAAAAATAAATGAAGAAACTTCAAATATCAGGCACTTTTCAGAGTGATATTTTGTTAAGTATTTTTTCCCCCAGCATACGATTTTCAGGTAAATAATAGGCAGATGTGTGTTATAAGGAGGAAATTATATTGTGATGAAATATACCTCTTAAAACTGAAATTATTATTGAAATGTTTTAGTCCCATCAGTGGCATTGTGGGTTTATAGAATGATGCTGCTCATTTCATGTTTTCCAATTATGAAGTATGCTACAGTTTTTCATTCATGGTGATGTTAGAGTGCAGTAGGCAACGGGTAGTTCTTACTTTGTGTGTGGAACTTGGAGTCTCTGTTGAAGTAAGGTTCCATATTTTTAAAATAAGAAGCTGATAGATACACTGCCAAGATTGTGTGTGCATGGAGTCTTGATAGCCATTTATCTAATCAGCATTAACCACTATTACACCTGATACACACTTCATTTGACATAACATAACCACACTTTTCCCTGTTCTTTAAATAAAAAGAAAGCTTTGTGCCTACCTGGAAATTTAACTTGCCAGTGACTGCTATTTTGAAACAAGGTGTTATTTTTTCTCCCCAGTCTCAAATGCAAAGGTGCAATTTTCACTACATCAAACTTTGTGGCTGCATCATAATTTTTTAATTTTTTCTGCATCTCGTCAAATATTCAGTTTCTTGCAGACAGTAAATTATACATTTGTTTTATTTAATTGTTTTCAAACAGCTATAATTGCAAAGTAGGTTCTCACAGTGGTGAATACAAAGTTGACTGCCTTTTGGGTTGTAGTGCTGTGTAGCCTGGTAGAAGTTTGTCAGTGTTTCAGAGGTCCTTCACCTCATCAGTTGATGGAGGAAACAAGGATGTGTGAAATGTTGATGACCTTCTACCGGAGTAAGTAAGATTGCCACCCAAATCAAAGCCTGAATATGATGTGCACTATACTTTTTGATTGAAAGATGTAATGACATCCTTAAAATTCTTCAGTCTGCATGGGAAAGCAAGCAAGAACCATTTATGAATGATTATGCAATTTAGCACCCTACATTAAGTGATGATAATGTTGTACATAACCTACAAGTTACCATTGATGAGGGAGGAATAACCTCAAATGACGAGATGTGTATGTGTCATATTGGTTCAGAAATTATCAAGGGGGGGGGGAAGAGACAATGATACCATATACCTTTGTTATAAAATATGTAATGTAGTCTGAAATAGTATGCAGCAAAGATGACATGCCACTGAAGGGATTACAGTAATTTGTTAGGGTTGATGTAGGCTTTGGAAATGTCTATGTCATCCAAGATGTTGGTTAAGCATTGTTGTTAAATATACAAAAATGTATAAAGACAAGACTGTGTACAAAGTATGTTCAGATATATCAGATCCAGTTTGGTGTAATGTAGAGAAATGAGCAACCTGTGGGAATGTCATATTTTATAGTTCAATTTACTGATGACCACACTGTTGATATATCCCCTTCTGTATTCTAGAATTTACTTTGACTTATGTAATCCCACGATTGTTTTTAACTTTGTACTGACAATGTGTCAGTCATATCCCACAACTGGATTCTGATCATTCAACCACAAGGTGATTTATGCATCATCAGAGAGTTTTATTCCCTGATTTCCTTTCTGTAATCATCTCATGCCTTCAAATGAAATGTCATCATGTAGCAATAGAACAGTGGCATAGTTAAAAGTTATACAATTATTCAGGCTGTAAGCAGGCTTCTTACTGCAGATTAGGCAGGTTAGTGTAATGGTTCAAACCGTGTGAATTTTGACATAATTGAAATTCTGATTGGATAATTTTTTTCTTCAGACTGCAGAAGGAATAGGAGTACAATGGGATTGTACATAAACTGTTTGTGGACTTAAAGATAGCCTGTAATTTATTTTTGTAGGATGTACATTCTCATAAAATTTGGAATAAGATTTAATGTACTTAGGCTAATTAAAATATGTTTAAACAAAAAGTATAGCTAGGTCTATAGAGATAAGTCTGATGCGTTTTATATTCAGAATGGTCTGAAACAAGGATATGCTTTATCACCATTGGTTTTCAACATTGCTTTAGGCTCAAGAAAACGAAGGATTGCAGCCGAATTGGACACATCAGCTTCCGGTCAATATTGATGATATTCATTTATTGAGTGAAAACTTAAGTGTCATAGAGCATTATTGGTTTGGAAGTAAACACAGAGAAAACGAAGTATATATTCAATGCATGGGTAAAATGAGAAATTCTGTAAAAATTTTATTGGAAATTGTAAAGGAAAAGTCTGGCTGTAGTTTGGAAGGAAATGTTAAAATTGGTGGTAATGCTGGATGGGAGGGTACAGAATACATTTATCTGGTTCGGAATAAGGACTCGTGGCAGGGTACAGGAATGAACCGTTGGATTTCACTGAAAGGTGGCCATTTTTGCGACTAGCTGGGCGATTATCTGATTCTCATAGTGTAATGCATTGGAGAATCAATGTACAGAATTTTACCGACTGCGCTACGGACGTATAGACTGCTGATTTCACTGCTGACATGCTCACAGATGGCAGTAGAGGCTCACGTAACTGCGTGAAAGGTGCAAACGTTTCCAACCAATAGCATTAAGACGCACAATGTTGTAATGATGGCTGAAATTTGTGGTGGAGAGACTGTGATATTTATAAAAGTGATAGTTGTCCAGTGAATTTAGACGTATTTGTTTTTTTGTGATCACTAGTTTGTTTGTGGTTCTAGGTAATTATAGTTGAGTTTTTGTTTTAGAGAATGCATGTATACATAGAAATTGGATTTACTATAGTTCGTATAATAGCGGTTAAAGTTATGTATACAAACATATTTATGGAATATAGCAAGAAGCAGTGTTTATATAATAACTCTCGTTACTGAATTAATATATATTTATGTTTTGTTACTAGCTATTCATGAGTTCCCAACAGAGCCCTGCTAACCTGCAGTCGTCGGTGGACCGCGACAAGATTTATCAGTCGATATTGGAACTCTCCTGTCCAGAAAACATGGAAAATGTATTACTTGACCTCAGGTAAGCTCTTTAGTTTATACCCATTTTATTTACAGTGCAGTGACGTTTATCCCAGATTCAGTTTTTTTGTTTAAAACCTGCTAGATTGAAAAGAAAATTGTAAATTAAGAAACAATTAAATCTGTTTGAAAATTCTGATTTGTTGGAGAATTATAGAAGTATGCCCAGAAACTATAAAAAAATACTGTATTTTTTGTAATGTAACCAACATGAATGTAAACATTTATTACTAAGCAAGACAGCATGCAAATACATACACACACACCATAGGCTTAAATTTCAGTACATAAAAGATTAGTTTATGCTAAACATATATGAAAATTATGTTTATATTGTTTATAATTACAGTTATAATGAAAAGATACATGGTAACAGACATTTACTTGTTTGTTTTTTGTATTATGTTTAATCAGTCAAGCATTGCAGCCTGTGGTTACATAGAAATAAACCTATCTGGACCCCATGTAACACTAAGTTCCTACTTATACCCTATTCTAGGCTGCTTTTGTTTTATGTAATTTAGTGCATGCAACAAAAGAAAAGGACATGTGTCTGCTCAGAAATTGATATTTTACTTACATATTGATCATTTATTTTATGCTGTGCTTATAGTAAGAAACGAGAGGTTGTGCCTGACTTAGCACCCATGCTGTGGCACTCATTTGGTACTATAGCAGCTCTCCTCCAAGAGATTGTGAACATCTACCCTGCAATTAATCCAGCTACCCTGACAGCTCACCAGTCAAATCGTGTCTGCAATGCCCTAGCGCTTCTTCAGTGTGTTGCATCGCATCCTGA